GTACCTTTGATTACTAGGCTATCAACTGCATGAAGTGTAGACCCTACAGAATTACTGGAATGCACTACCTGCTCCTCATCAAATCTTCAGTGCATGCTTCTGCCCTTTACTATAGAACAGCATGCAGCTACTCAAACCACACAGGTAGCTATGCAGCTAGTAGCAAACAAACATACAAAGTTTTGCTCGTCCCGTTAGAGGAAGCTTTCTGGAGGGAAAACTTAGTAATCAAACTTTTCCTTAATTACCCAGCCAACAACTGGATACTGCAGAAAAGGAAATTTGGCTTGATGGAACTTAACTTCAATAGTTTTAAAGATATGAAAAGGATAAAGTCTATTTTCAATCAATAAAAAAGTAACTGAAACACGATTTTTCTTCAACTCATGTGAATGTTCAAGCTTCTCTCATATCGAAATAGAGACCGTGTCCTTTTAAGTAATGAACAATGAGGTCCTCAATCTGTTTAGTTGAATGCCTTCCCATTTATTTTCTTCCCTCAGTAAAGAAACACTCTAAATATGCTTCATTGCTAAATACACATTTTATCAGTTTATACAAGTCAACATCTTATCTAGTGCCATCACATGCCATCAAATTTCACACTTTTGATTGGACCAAAACGTCCCATCTGTCCAGAAACTGCTCCTTCAGAACTTAAAAGCTAGACTGCTGCAACAGTGCATCCCTACTGGTATTAAACTAATTAGAGAAGAGGGATCCACATCATTTTCATGTTTGACTGTGCTCATATGACAAACTTCAAAGAAAATGTCAAGCAAGTTCAGCTCACCAGTCATTACCAGTCTTCCTTGTTATCTGTACCTGGCCACTCTTCCTAAATATGCACCTGTCTTCCACTGCTTCTGCCAAATGTGTTTGCAACCACAGACTGATTGATCTGCTGTTATTGGTGTAGTAGAGCTAAGTCTTCAGAAAGCAGCCTGTCAGTCGTACGATTATTTGGTTTGGTTTGCAAGGGAAGGCTGTTATAATTGTGTAGTACAAAACATAACAACCAAATACAAATATGATTCAGCCATCAGGAAGAGTAAATGTGTAAAACAGCAGGACAAGCAACGCGGGTGTCTTCATGACCAATTTGTGAACACCTGTCCCCAACAAAAACAGCACTGAACTTGAAACTGAGATTTAACTTGAAGTATCTACTTTGTCTCAGACAGGACACTGGCTGCAAGCATATTCCTGAAGGCACATCGCTCTGGAGAAATCTCAGCAGGGAAAATAAGAGTACTATAGGTATTACTATGGCATCCAACTGCCATTTGGAAAATGTGCCATATGTAACTACACAGCTTTGTGATTTGCTACGCCACGTGCCCCACTCACTACTCCCATTTCTTCCAGGAACACCCTTCAAAAGCACTGCTCATTTGGAAGCAAGACTTTGAATAATCAGGCATTAAAGAATCACAGAATCAGAGGGTTGGAAGGGACCTCAAGGATTATGAATCTTCAACCCCCCTGCCACATGCAGGGCCACCAACCTCCACATTTCATAGCAGCCCAGGCTGCCCAGGGCCCCATCCAACCTGGCCTCCAGGGATGGACGGGGCATCACAGCCTCTCTGGGCAGCTGTTCCAGCACCTCACCACTCTCATAGTAAAGAACATCCCCCTGACATCCAACCTTAATCTCAAAACTTCAAACCATTTCCCCTTGTCCTGCTGTTATCTGCCCTTTCAAAGAGTTGATTCCCCTCCTGTCTGTAGGCTCCCTTTAGGTACTGAAGGCTGCAATGAGGTCACCCCACAGCCTTCTCTTCTCCAGGCTGAACAAGCCCAGCTCCCTCAGCCTGTCTTTGTACAGGAGGTGCTCCAGCCCCCTGATCATCTTTGTGGCTCCTCTGGACCCTCTCCAACAGCTCTCTGTCTTTCTTGTACTGGGGGCTCCAGACCTGCACACAGTGCTGCAGATGGGGCCTTAGAAGAGCAGAGTAGAGGGGGACGATCACCTCCCTGTCCCTGCCAGCCACCCCTCTCCTGATGGAGCCCAGGATTCCATTTGCCTTCCAAGCTGCAAGAGCACACTGCTGGCTCATGTGAAGTTCTTCATCTATCAAGACCCCCAGGTCCCTCTCCACAGGGCTGCTCTCAAGGACTGCTCCTTCCAGTCTGTCAATTGAATCATTCTAATTAAATCAAATTTGATTCTTTCACACATAGGCAAGTGCTACACAGAGACATTGTCATTTACTTCACAGTCCAAAGTCCAGAAGTAAATTTAGTTACCTGTAAGTACAGACCCTATCACTGTTCAAATGCCTCTAATCTCAATTAGCAGCACGTGACTGCTGTTCTACACAACTTTGTTACTGATGACCTTGACTGTTTCTTGCTCTATTCTACCCTACCTGAGAAAGAAAAACCACAATATCCTCCCAAGCTCGCTTACCTTCTCCCCAACACTCTTTCTTCCTCTTCAACTCTGCTTCTGTTATTCACAGCTTGCGGTATCTTCCAACATCTAACATTTGAGCAAAGGTGCATTCAACAGCTCACTCAACATTTGGCATTTGGTTCTCTTCTCTAACCTTGTTTGTTTTATACCCTTAAAGCCTCCAGGGCAGGAATTGCTTGTTCCCCTGAAACCGGTGTCTTATTACACTACTCCTAGGTCAGAACCAAAACTACCATCAGGTTTGGGGTGTTTCTTTGGTTTACAAACTTCACTTAGCCGGAACTAAACCCACTAGCTTCAACCAACTGAAAGTTTGAAGACATATATATCTTCAAACACAAAGCAATTCTGTAATATTCCAGCTAAAAACAGAAGTCTAATGCTGCCAAAGCCCTGCCATAGGACTGCTAAGGCTAATGCAGGCTTATGGCATCACACAAGCTAACACATGTATTTCTTCACCACTCACCCTTGTGCAATACAAAGTCTTAACCTCTTGTTTTTGCTGATGGTTGCAGATGTGAGGAATCTTTTTGCTGATCTGCTCAGGATTTTTACTGGAGTAACAGTGTCATTGACATAGAAAACCTTCAATAGGAAAACAGGACGTAATGATCTGAAATTAAGATCACTTCAGACGTGCACATTCTGATAAGGCCTATCACATACCGGCCACATTCCAAAAGAACTAACGAAGGTTAACGTGCCTTTAACCAAACACTAGGAATGAATTACAGTGTGACCTTCCTTCAAGAACAGGGATAGACGAAGACCCCTTTGTCCCACTCAGCACGACAGTGGCTGTCCAGATAGCAGGGAAAACCTTTGAGCCCATGTCCAGTACCAAACACTTATGTACAGTACTTGCTCACTAGGAGAGATGACCAGTATTCCTGCCTCTGTCTTCTGCTGCTGTCCTGACTATGTGAACTAACCCTCACTGTAACATAACTTTACAGAGATACTCTATCTGCATATCCCAGCTGTAAAACTCCCATCAAGAAATTAAACAGTTGGTCCTGTGGGTAAGAGCCAAGCCCGCTCTTCACCAACAAATAGCACAAACGCCTTCAGGGAGTTAAGCACCAACAGTGCAAAGGTTGTAAGTCCCAGAAATGCCTATTCCTTGTAGTGTATGTATTTAGGCACTTCACAGTCTGAGCACTTATGTGGGAAAGGCTTAGTCTGTCTAGGATGGTTCTTATTGCTTCTGGGAGAAGAAAATCCTGCCCAGGCCACACACAACCAGCAGACAGGAAGGCCTTGTGACAAAAGTAATCCCCAGCGTAAAGATTTAACCTGTTCAGCCAAGTCTTGCGAGCTCCCATACATGAACACAGAATCAGAGTCACTAAGGTTGGAAAAGCCCACTGAGACCCCCAACCCATCCCCACCATTTCCACTGACTGCATCGCTCAGCATCACATCTACACCTCACTCTTCGCATCCTATAAACCAACACAAATCCTCAGAACAAATAAATGAGCTTCTAACATCCACTTTCAAGAAAGGGCAAGGTGTGTTTATTAAGTAAATTAAGTCATTTCTAGATCAATTATTCACTTGATGGTGTATCAGTAAATACGCACCTGTGCAAAGCTGTTCAGCAAAGCCACCCACGTGCTCTGAAACCCGGAGAGCTGCTGTGAACATCAGACGAAGGAAAGATCAGCCCACTCACAAACAACTTGGCAAATTTTGCTACAGTACCCATCCCATACAGACCTATCTCAGGAGCAGATTTCACACCCAGCCGCCTTAAAGCTGTGGCACAGAGCTCGCTGCGAGTGGAAAACAACACGTCACTACGGCTCCGCATTGCTCACGCTTCCCATTTATTCCCCTGGAAATTCAAAGCAGTTCCCGGCAGACCGCCCTCAGCCAGGAACCGGGCCGGGAGGGCGCGGGCAGCTGCTGGGAGGGGATGTCTGGACAAACACAGCTGCAGCGCCCAGCACGGAGGCCGCGGCGGTCCCAGTAACGCCGGCGTCTAGAGCTAACGCAGCTCAGCCCCGCGGCGGCCGTTGCAGCGCGGCCACGGCTCCGTGTGCCGTCAGCAAACACGGGAAGCGCGAGGATAGAGCCGCTGGGGCCGCCGCTCTCCTCGGGGAGCCAAACCGAGCGCCGTTCCGCGCCCTCCGGGCAGCGCTGGCTGCGATCACGGCAGCCACCGCGCGCCTCGGCGCCTCAGGGCTGAGGCGGGAGTCGGGCGGGCCGAGCGCGGCTCCTCAGCGCTTCGGCGACAAACCCGCGCGGCTCTCGCACCTGCGGCGGCCCCGGGTGCTGCGGAGAGGACCCCGCTGCCCGCCGCCCGGCCGGCCCCGCACCGCGGCTCCGGGCGGCTGCACCGACGCGGCTGCCCGCGTTACCTCCGCTCCCGCCGGCTCCGCGCTCCGGGGATGCTCGGTCCTTACCGCACACGCACGATGGCGGCCGCTCCGCCTCGCAGCCTCGCGCCCGTCATGATCCGCCCCTCCCTCAGCAGGAAACCGCCCCGGGGCCCGAGCTCTCGCCCGGCCCCGCCGGGTAACCCCGGCCCACCGCGCCCCGGCTCCAAATGAGGCCGGGACCCATTCTTCCCTCGGGCGCAAGATGGAGCTGGGCGCCGCCGGCGCCGTTCCCGCCTCAGCGCTGTGACGGCGGAGGGCCGTTCCCGCCCGCAGCCCCTGTGGGGACATGGCGCCTCGGCCCCTTCCTCACCTCCTCGTTCTGCTTCCAGCCGCTCCCCACAGAGGTCAGCAAAGTGATAGGTTTGGTCTCTCCGGCTGTTATCTGCAGCCCCAGCAGGTGAGCCAAAGGAAGGACTTTTCGGTAGGATACATTGGGATAAAAGCTTTACAGCCAATAAAAATTATGAGACTATGGAAGGACTCAAAAGGCAAAATGAGTGTTGTAATTCCCACGATCAGTTGGGCTCAGTGACCTTGATGGGTTCTTTCCAACTCAAAATACTCAATGGTTCTGTCACCATGAGGTGCACGTTCCCAATTGCCGCACCACTTGGTCTCAAATCTTGCTGTTTTTCTCCATTATTCGCACACAAGGCCACTGTTGCCCTCATACGTCTCTGCAAATACTCCTTACATTGTGTCTGGGCAACAATGATTGGAGTCTTTTTTTAGTTGGCTGCTTATGTACACAAACTGGCAGAAGCTTCCTGGTCGCTCCATTGGGACTCGTTTCCAGACTGCATAGTGCTGTGGCTAAACAAACAGTCATTCACAGGCTGTAATCTGAAGCAGTTCGATAATGTCATCTCTGTCATCACCACCTCTGTTTCAGCTCTTTTTTTGGATTTTGTTGGTTTTAGGTCTCGTGCAAATACAGCCACACCGAATCCATTGTCTCCTAAAGATACGACAGTGTGACAGTGTCGTAAAGGAGCAAGCAATGCCTGACTGTGGTCTTCTGGATCTCAGCAGCCCTGCCTGGTAAATGAATTAGTTGTTTTCAATCAACTTATACAGAAAAGAAAAAGACATAGAAGGCATTCCTGGAATATAGCTCTATTTTGTACAGTATGAAGTTGTAATTGCACTTAGAAAGATAATATGACCCAGAGACTGGCTGGTAGATAGAAATTGTGTTTAGTCACTAACTACAAATATCCACAGTGCTCTATTTATACCTAGCAGTATTTTCAGGTAAACATACTTGAAGTCAGTCTCACACATTAATTAAAAAAATGGACTGTGTGATGCAGATGCTGCTGATTTCAGTTGGTGCTAGACTGCCTTGGAAGCTCCCTCATAAATTGAATTTACTGGAGACAAGACTCACTCTTCCAAGAAATGCACTCATAAAATGTCAGGAAATTAGAACATTGCCTTTAGGAACATGTAATAGATGAGAGCTGAAGAGGCATCAATATCAAACCTTTACACATATGGTGGCAGTTCAGAGGAGGACATTTTATTTTATGGTTTTGAAAAAATATTTATTGAAAAAAATGCCCATTTGGGAATTTCAAAATAGAAGTTCACCCTCTGAATTCTGAAAACTTGTAAAACTGTAGGTGTTTTTGTGAGGGACCCATTTAGGACATCATCCTAAGGCATCCTAAGACATCCTAAGACTCATGCAAGTACTCCTGCAGTTTTAGCAAATCTGCTTTTTTTGTATAATATTTCCACTTTAATACAACTTAGGAAATATTTCCACATAAATACAAATTAGGAAATGTAATTCAACTAAAAAAAAAAAAAAAAAGGTTGAAGAATAAACAAGTTAAATGCTCTTAAACAAACCAAAACTGAACTTACATCATAGTAAAGAAAGCCAAATACACAGGAAATGGTTTTAGAACATAACAGAGCTGCAGTAAAAACTGCTGTTTGATCTCAGTGAATCTGGAGCCTGCTTATCAGCTTTGTGCTTGTTAGCAGGTTAATCCTGGAGCGTCGGATGAGTTTAAGCACTTGCCATGTAAGTCCACCCAAAGTGTATTGCTCATGCACTTCACTCAGGGAACAAAAGAGCACGAACTGAGCTCCTTAAAGGTCAACACTGAACAACGTGTATCCGTAGGAAGTAGTCATTGCTAGGCATAAGGCCATTAACTGTCATGAAGATGGCGCTTCCAACTGAGCATTTGAGGGTTTATGTTGGTTCCTTTTGAACATATGCTGTACAAAATGAGAAACGTGGGACCACATCTGTGCTTGTTTTGAAATGAGCTATCTTTAGGGCTTGTGCAATGATTTGTGTGACAGTCATTCTGTGGCTTTGACCAAAACTCAGGAAATGACAGTGTTTGTGAGCCCTAAAAGAAGGCATTCTTTTTTCAAACTTCACCATCTGAAACAGCACAGAGTCAACCACATACTCTGCAGAAACAGTTCAAAAAAATGAGTTTAAGTCCCTTTGTTTCTTTTATTTGGTTAAAGTTGAGTGACTTTGTTTACAAAAACAAATTAGACCCTTTGCCACTTCAATCTTCTCTGTCATACAAACTTTTGCTGTAGCTATTTGAAACAGAGTGATTATTACTTACAAATGAGAGTGACTACAAGCTCCAAAATGCTAGGCAATTAAACAAAATGTCTAAATTTAGGCTTCTAAATATATCTCACTGCTCCTTGCAGCATGCCTCCTCCTACGCTGTTTCATTGGCTCTCGGCATTTGACTGGATCCACTGCTTATCTGGCCCCCTTGGTGAGGCAATTCTGCTCTCTAATTTGGCAAAAAGTACTTAATTGGGTTAGGTTTTTTTTTGCTATCATAATCACAAAATGCAAATACGGAGCATGTGAGGAGAGGAGAGAAAAGGAAGTGGCAGAGGTGAATGGAAAATGTCCCTCTAAGCACCAGAAGCAGAGAGATGGCTTGGTCTTGTACAACTGCACTCTTATTTACACACTGTTAAGATTAGTCCTTCTTTTATGGAAAACTTAGTTTCTCTCCACTGCAAGTTTTTAAGATAGATTGTAATGTAAGCATCAGCACTTCGTCTTTTCATTTTATCATCTGCCTGCTTCTGTTACCTGCCAGCTGTCTGGTCCTTTTCACTGCCTCACCTACATTGTTGCATGTGGTTACAAGCTCTTTTTCTTCAGTGCTGTCCATGCTGCAAGGTACAAGTAGAGATGGGCATCTTCTGAGTATGGACAATTTTTTAAATGTTACCAATAGACCTTGCTAGGAGAAAAAAGAAACAGGAAAAAAAATATACAAATAATCAGACAAAAGGATTCCAGTGTTCACTCAGCATTCTTTTGATTAATGCCCCAAGCTATTTTCATTTTACTGTTTCCCACTCTAATCTTCTCTATTATAAGTGGAATGTGCAATATTTCCTGTCTTTCCTGGCCAAATTTGGGGGTTTATTATTTGGAAAAAAAGTGACCTTTTGTAGTTACACTTATTTTTGAAGAAACAGATTGACATTAAGACAAGTAAAACACTCAGCTCAGAGAGCCTGTCCTTTGTTGCAGGTGGTCTTTCCTGTACTGAATTACCTTCATAAGGCTCTGGCTGTGTGTTGATGTGAGGGGATGAATCACTGGCTTCACTTTCTTGCAAGACAGACAGGAGTTGCAATCGTCGTCTCGCCAGGAATTAAAAAGCTGCAAGGATTTTTAAAGATAAAGCTATTTGTCCTTGTCTGTTTTGAAGGCCAGTAAAAAAGATTATATATAAAAAAAGCAAGGTAAGGGGATTTCTAGCAGTAAAAAATGTTTCTGACAAATAAATTTTTTTTTTCTTGATTTAGGGCCCAAAAGTGGTCGCCCAGTTTCATGGTGTTTAGATACATCCTTTTTGGATGTTTTTGAAGACATCTGTTGCATGTTTTGTTGTTGTTTTAATATTACACAACTCTCACTCTTCTAATTTGTGTGCTCAGTCTTTCTTCAAGCAGCAAAATTCCTTTATGTTACAAATTCCATCGTGTTACCATCAATCCTTTTCAGATGTACCTTCTTCCCTTGCAATACCTGCCTATCTCTCTTGTTAAAAGGAGTCTGGAAGTGGAGTCTCCTAATGCTCAGAAGTGGTTACACTGATAGCCTGTTAGCAGGCAGCTTGCTACCAGAGGCTGAAGCCAATGTCATCACTTTGTTTGTGTTACCATGCTGAGCACAGACTTTGCAATTAAAATTCCACCAGATGTTTCTGAGCAGAGCTACTTTGCATTAATTCCGTGTTCTACAGTACGGCTCCATCCGTTCTGACCACACTGATGCATCTTTGCTTTCAGTGTTTCTTTTCTCCTAATTACTGAATTATTCTGTAAGGTTTGTGCAATGAAATAATTTTATACATTTATAAAAGAATTCAAAGAATTCTCTTTCATGTCACGTGAAGAACTTAAAACAGCACACTTCTAGCATGTATGTAGCGTACTTCTGGGCAGCAGTAACAATTTTTGACTGAACTGCTCATAAGGAAGGCCTTTATTGCCAAGGCTTTTCAGGATCCTTCAGGATCAGCTAGTTAGATTTGCTCCAATTTTAGGCTGTGTTTAGAAGTGAAATTTTCCCAAATGTAAACCCAGAGACCTTTCTGTATAGATTCCCACACAATGTGGGCAAATCAGACGTCATGCCTATGCATTCTGGCCTGAATTAATACAATTTACATATAAGCAGAAGTGAACAGACTAGTAAGCACTCCTTTGAATATTTAGAAATTGGGGCCATTATACAAGTTCTAATTCATGAGTTTACGTAGCATAGGCATTCTTTGTGAAGTAATCAAAACAATGTTGTTTCACAAAGGTGAGATCAGGTTTCTTGTCCAAGACTGCATGCCCCATGAGCAAGATTTTCAGAATATGCCTAGATTTTTAAAATCAAGCCTTAAAAATTGAGATGCAAACCATTTTAACGTTAAAAGAGTCTTGAAGATTATGGGAATTGCATTTTGATGTAGCACAGGAGGATTTATTGCCAGTCCATTTGCCTTTGCAATCAATAGGATAGCCCTGTTAATGGGTTTAGTCTTTTGTCTGCCAGCACAATTGTTCCAATTTCTGATTTGTTCTTTCCCAGTATTAGAAGGTATTCAGCCCTAAAGTTAAAATTATGGTTGGCTTTTCTAACAGAAATGATTTCTCAGCAGTCTATTTGTGTGTATTTTGCACTTTGCTCCTTTGTTCCACACTTGGCTCTTGATTATTTGATGCATAGTGTCCCACAGAGCAAATCCTAGTGGACTAATTAAGAACTGCCCAGAGTATCCCGAGTTATGCAAGATCCCCACAACTATGAAAAGCCTTTTCAGCCTCCCAATCACATACTGTGAATTGCTGTAAATCAAACTTTTGAAAAGAATCAGAGCCGTGCTGCATGTCCTCTAGTTCCAGAAGAAAATGGTTACCTTTTACACTTTACTGCCCTTTTTTTTTTCCAGTATTATTTTCCTTAGCTTAAATCCCGCAAACTTTGAGCATCTTGAATACCAGTAATTTAAGGAGAGATAGATTGCTGATAATGCACATTGGTGACACTGATGTCTTTATTTTCATGTGGATGTGTAAGAGGAAGTGAAGTGAGAGCGATTGCTTGGACTTGTATGGCAGAGCTGAGGCTGCACGATAAAGGAGACCAAACCTCTGCTTCTGGGTGTCACATTACTGCCTGTGGAGGTCAGGCAGATATTTTTACCTCAGTGTCACTATTGGGAAAAACTTGGAAGACATCAGCTTACACTGAAACTGTAGGAGGCAGCCAGGTTAATTGTTAAAATGGGTCATCAGTGTCATTGCATGCAACAGACCTCATGGCTGGAGCCCTGTACGTGTCCTCACCTCACACTTCAGGAGATCAATTGCGTGGGTTGCTCAGTGCCATGCTACAAGAACAACTCTATCTTTGTCCTTATTGCAGTTTATTACTGAAGTGTTTTGTTACTGGATAAATTGTTCTTCTGGGTTAGTGGATGCTGGAATAATGCACGTCACACTTACCCTTTATCTTTTTCATTAGAATAAAGATCAGAGACAGATTGCACTGAAACAGGCAGAAGCCAACTGCTGTGCATGCTCTTGCAGCTGAATCCACTGTATCCTGTATAGTAAAATTACAGCTGTGAGATACAGGTAATTTTTTTTTCTTTAAAAAGCCTTCCTTTGGCCAACAAAAAAGGCCCACTGGCTATGCATGCATCTTCTCTTGCTACTGAGGACAACCATATGGAGCACCTGGCAAGAAATGACAGCTCTCACTTCCAGGTGGCCAGTTAGGGCAGAGAGAACAAGAGTTGCTACTGGATTAAAAGAAAAAAAAACCATTAAGCCTTAGAGGAGCAAAAAGTGAATCTCTGTACTGACATACAAATAATGGAGTAGCCCCAACGTCCTTATTAAACACACTCAAGCAAAGTATAGCAGCTGAGCTTTTCAAACTTCTGCCCCATTACTTTTTTTCATACAGAAAAACAAAACCACAGACTGTCAAATTTTGGGTTTGAAATACATGGTAATTTAAATGAAATACATGGTAATTTAAACCAGCATTGGCATTTCCCTTCTCTTAAATATTTAATTCTGCTTAGTTAATTCTATACCTAAGTGAGAGGTTTCTGTAAAATAAATTTACCTATAGCCTTGAATTCCAGGATACAATTGATTTTAGCCAGAAGAACAGGTCTTAGCTGGAGCTATGAGGACTGCATTTGAACCAGCTCCACAAAGTCAGAAGTATTTATTCTCTGTGTGGAAGCTTCCCTGAGCTGAAGTTCTTTGGCTGCAGATTGTCTCATTCAGGGTACAGTGCAACTTGTCTAAGACATGCAGTCCCTCGGAAAACAATCATATTTCATTGTGAGGTCTCACCTGTTCAACACAAATCACGTATTCTTTTATTTTTCCTATGATTTCGTTTGCATTTTAACCTGGTACGTAGTCACTTTTTCTTGATTCTTCTATGATTTCACGCAAAAAAGAGAGAGGAAAATATTTTGATGTTGAGAATTCTCTCCCCATCCTACCCAATAGCCAATAAAGAGAAAATTGAGGGTGTTCTCTATTCTGTCTTTCAGATAGCTGAGTTGCAAACAGACATGACTTCATAGGTAGACTGTGGTGAGGTAAATACTGCTTAAGTTACAGTGTAGTTATTTATAGTCATTCAGCAAAAAGTTAAGCATGTGATTTGTAGTTTGCATAAACAGATCCCTAGATACCTATTGGGCACATGGAGGGAAGATGCTTAGCGGATCACTGCTGTTTAAGTTAATTTTGTCTGCTGAAGCTCTCCTGTTTGGGTAGAAAATGGTCCATGAATATGCTCTGCTCCGGGTGTGGGAGGGGAGGAGGACTGTCTTTTATGTCTCCTGAACACCTGCCTGAGAGCCACTGCTTTGTCATGAAGGGCAGACAACTGGTTGGTGCCAGATCCTGTTTCATCACTGGATGTTCACTACCTCTGTTCCAGACTGTTCCATCTTTCTTCGCCTCAGCTTTGCTAGACCAAACAAACACCATTTCATCAACTTGCCCTTACTTGTCAAGTTTCTTCACTGCTGATCAGCCTTTCTTTTCTGGGTTCTGCTCAGTCCATGCTTAGGGCTGAATACTGTTTTGCAGCTAAAAAGTTGCCAGCATAGAATAGAAAACAATAGCTAGTTCGGTGCCTACCCTTACCCCCTTTTCCCCCCAGGTAACATTTTACTGAATTTTCCTATTGGCCAAAGAAATATATATATATAAAGCCTTTTTTAGCCAATAAAGGAAAAGGAGATAATTTTGGTAAATTAAGCACTTTTCTCTGAAACCTAAAGAACGAACAAACTGTACAGACCTTTCGGGAGTGCTGCCAGATTCCTTCTGACGGGAAAACTCAGCTGTGTTTTCTGCTCATGTGGGTATTGTTGCTATGTGGAAAGTTCAAGACCAACAGCTGGAAGCGTGTCGAAATACTGTGGAAGGTTATCATATTTCAAAGAGTGAAGTTTTTATTCTAAATCACTAGCTGCCATTTAAATCAGCCTGGTTGGAAGAGTATGCAGTTCCTTCAACTGATCGTAGAACCATTAAGAAGGTTGGAAAAGAGCTCTAAGATCACTAAATCCAATCCCCCATGCCCACATCCCTTTTCCTAATATCCAACCTGAATCTCCCATGGCACAACTTAAGGCCATTCCCTCTTGTCCTCTGCACCTCGTACTTCTGTGGAACAACAAAGGCCAACTGTACAGACCTGTGCAGATTGCAGTTTGGGGATAAAGATCTCTAAATATTACCTAGGATGTATCTTTGGAAGAAGAGAAATAAAGGTAGGAAACAGCAAAATACCCATTACAAATTATTTCTTATCAATGCAAGAACTAGAATATTATGTCTGAACTTTTATCCACTATTTTTCTCACACTGGGATTAAGAAAAATGCAGTTATCAGCAGCCCACTTTTTAAACACACACTGAATTTACAGTCAACATACTCTTGCAGCTATACTAGACCTCTAATATAACACAACTCATTAAATATGTTCTCTGCAGACCTCATCAGGCAGCTTAATTTATGGTGGACTTACCTTCAAAATCCATGAGTTTTGTTTAGCTTTGCTGACATACCAGCTGTCAGGTCAACCATGTCCTCACTAAAGGGTGTGCCAAGTGAGGCAAACAGGGGTTTATTTCTTTTGATGAGGAAAAAAACAGAAATTCCACTGAGTCCTTTTGAGCTCTAGAATAATATTTTACAAAGGAGGCAGAGAGGGTAGGAGAAAAAGAATGAGAAAAGTGTTTTCATGCATGAAAAAAAAAATGCAGCAGTCTTAGAAAAAGGGGAAAGCACTTACTAGGGGAAAGCATACCTAACAGGTGTATATCATCATTATCACACAATTGACAATGAAGAAATTTGAATTCTCTATGCCAGCCTTGATGATGGTTAGGTCTTTTCCTACCAAACCAGTCGCACAGGTATTTGTGTATGCACTTAGCTCACGTGGATAGCACAAGTGACTGAAGCTGCGGTACATGAAAGTGTTTGCAAGATCGTGCGGAACTGAAATGATATCATGTAAATATTTAAGGTTTGGCTAGCACTTCAGCTGGTATAAATACAGAATCATAGAATCATTTGGAAGGGACTCTTAAAAGTCATCAAATCCAACTCCCCAGCTCTACATTTTAGACTAATCAGCGTAAAAATTCTTTTGTGTACGCTATGAGTCCATTAATGCATTATTTTTAAAGTTTGGGAAATGAGCATTTTGTGAGCATGCACTTGTCTTCCTCTGTTGTCTGGGACTACTGTGGTACATGTTGGTGACAACTACTGAGTGGTATTTATAGCTTTGTTTTGTTCTCTACTGGAAAGACTAATCTCTCAGAAGCTCCATTCCAGCACCTCAGATTAATTGTCTACAAATTAACTTCAAAAAATTCTAGTGCAGAAGTTCCTTCGTTACAGGAAGTATCCCAGCTGCAATAAGGGCGCTGTATAGATAGCAGAAAGGAGCAAGGGGCAAGGGATGGTCCTCTTTGTATGAGTCAGCAAAAGATGGCCGTGAGCAGCTCCAAGAAGAAGAATGCATACTGATAAAGTCAAGGAAAAAGAAATACAAAAAGAAATACAAAAAAAACCCTGCCTACTTCTAGTATTTTCCTTCAATAGATCTGCACAGCTCTTGCTCAGTGTTGCTTATTCTGCATTTTGTGAGAACTATGGGAAAGAGGGATAAGGAAATAGAAATCCTTTTAGATGAACGTGGTTGGCATACAAGTGTAAAATACCATAAGCTTTAAGCAGTTTGGTATTTCACATCAGTGAGCAACGTATCTACATCGATGTCTTTATTGCATCGCCAACTTGTGGCCTCTTAAGAGTGTGTGTTTCTGGTATGACAAAATGAAAGCTTATTTCAGGTCACCGCCTCCCTGTTCTGCATCAAAACTTTTCATATCAAAAGCAGCTTCATTTCAATCAACTGAAGCATCTCTCTGAAATATCACACCACAGGAAGATTCCCAAGGGCTGCAACTGTCAACAAACCCAGAGTTTAAATGCTTGTATCGCACAAGAGGTTTATGAGGAAGCTCTTTGTGTTTGCCTGCATGGAGGCATAAGCCTGCATTAGTTTAAGTTTGTTAATAACAAGGTTTTGGCAGTGGCACAGTTAGTTGATGACATGTATGTATCCATACAAAACCTCAAACTCGTGCACTGATTTCAGTTGAGTAGGTGTCAAAAAAATCTGATTATGGGTTAGAGTTAATTATTAAATAATGCACTTAAAGAATTAAATTCAGGCTCATTTGAACATGAAATAACAGATTTGCCTGTGTTCTGTAATTGGTTACTAACTGTCTTCCTGGATTATCTTGACAAAAATCTGGGTAAACACAACGGTAATGGATCAGCAACTCACATCCTATTACAGATACTTAAGTTGGAAAGCCAAATACAAGAACAAAATCTGTCTAAAAACAGATAACTTCTGCTCCCACTTGTTCCATGCCAGTTCCCTAATTAACAGTTAAGACTAGGATTAAGTCTGGCTTCAAATGAAATTCTCATCTAAGAAGCTGTTTCAAGGAAAGTGAGAGCCAAAACTGTTTTTATGTCAAAAACAATATAGTAATAATAATAATGGCAGATTAACGTGGTCCACCAGCTGTACATCTGTCAGAGTTATAAAAATGTTCAGTAGCAGAATGGAAAAGAATCATTTCTAAAAGCTGATAATTAAGTTTCAATAATATTGAAAGATTCCTTCATGAATTTCTATAAGTAATTCCCAAATTAATGAGTGATGATCTGTTTTACTCTGGTTATCTGATCCTTCCATACAAGCTCAACACCAAGTCAGTGGTTCTCCTCCTCATCAGCCATTCTGGTCTGTTTAAGGATCCCACTTAAAGTGCAAATAGAAAACAAAACACCAGAAAACAAAGCCACAAAACAACCACCAACAGCAGGGTCAGCCTTTAATTGGCAAAACCATTTTCAACACATTCTTATACTGATTTTGATTGTAACAGTTTTATCTCAAGGCAGTCTAAAAGCTTAATGAATGTATATAAAAGCAATTTCTCATTGAAGTTTATGATTCTAGCAGTATTGTAGTATGTGAATTAACAAATTTCTTATTTCACTTGTGCCTAGAAAACACATCACTGCTAAATCTAATATTACAGCATGCCAAATGATTGAATTAGGTAAGCAGTCTGAAAATGCAGAGAACAAATGCAATGCAGGGAAGCAGAACAATATAGGTTTTGTGTCTGAAATCCTTGTAGATTTTTTAGTGAACTTTCTCATGTTATTTCAGTGCTTTGCAGCTTGAAGGAATCCCACTGTGAGTTGAAAACCCAGCATTTCTATAACCTCATTTTCATTATAACAAAGGTGATCTTACTATTTTCCTTTGCAGGTCAGCAGAACCATGACTGCAAAAAACAATCAGCTTGAGATCTCTTCTTTCTGGTTTAACTTCACACTGAGCTGCAGACTTACACAGAGAACAACATGGATGTAAGGTATTAATGTTTTTCCATTTACCAAACACTTTAAGCCTACCTCTCCAAAGTGCTGCTATCACTGCCTTTTTTTTTTTAAGGCTGCATGACTGTTTGCAAGTAAAAATAGAATAATTTATATGCATAATGTAAAATTGCTAAGACTTGAGGTCCTGTGTGAGAAATATTTCTTAATTCACTTAGCTGGAAAGATTAATAACAGCTGCTTTTCCTTTGTGCGATCCCAAAAACTCATAATCTGTTTCCCTGTCTTCTAAAGTCAAGGAAATAAGGTGTCATCTGACTTGCATAGTATTTACCATGTTGCACATTGCACTCCTCCCTCTGAGGTCCAAAACTAGAATTTGTTGTACCAATCTTGCTGCGAGCAGTGGGTTGATGTGATCTTTTAATCCAGCTGGCTTTTTCCATGAGAGGAATAAAACCGTGGTCTGCAGGAGCGACTGACTTCAGTCTACAGCTTATGACAGAGGAAAGTGAATCATTGTCATTCCAAGTCCAGTTAACAAACCTCAACAAAAGTCACAGCAGCAGGATATCTCAGGAGGGAACCTATGCAACGGCTGCTTTGTCCCTTCCAACTCAAATGATTCCATGATGACTCTATGATAGTAAACAGAAAAAGTGTTTCAAAAGTCTTTGGATTGTTTAAGTGGAAGAAATTTTCCAATCTGTCCCAATTCATTCATCTTACCAACTGGATCAAACCTTGTCCAAAACTTTTTGGCTCTACACAAATAGAAAATGTTGTCCTGTAGCTGGTAGCAGGGCAGCTAACAGGGGACTCAGGATTGTGGAACTATTTGAAACGTGCTGTGGAAACAGGAACTTCAATAGATTATATATATATATATATCAAAGGCCAACAAAACAAACAAACAGAAAAACCACTAACACTACTGGTAAAAATGAACAAGAGCGCTGGGTTCTGCCTCTTCACAAAACAAATTAGGCTTGTGGCTATTTGAATGCTTAGCACTGCCATTAGGGATTTTACTGTTCAATGAGTACAGTACACCAAGAGAAAATTAAAAGCCAAAGACCACTGTTACTTTGGAGACTGCGCCTCTGTCATTCTGATTTCTGAGTGTTGAGCAGAGTTCTGAGATGAATTTTCCTGCATGGATGGGTCAACTGTTTAATGCTCAAATCATGCCATCACTCAGTAGTAAATTGAAAAGGATGGCCAGCCAGATGAAGGAGTTATCACATGACAGTTTGGAACCAACCAGCAAAAATAATAAGAAAACAAACAAACAAGAAATTGTGCTTTTCACCTGCAGATAGAGGCAGGCTTCACAAGTCAGAAGCAGTTTCCATGTCAGTAGGAAATCTGAGACCACATAAGGAAATAAGTGGTTCACTAGTCACCATTTTCAACAGTGAGTAGATACTTTTATAGCTTAGAACTACAATCTGGGATCTGGGAGAACATTGCCCTCTGGAACTGGAAATTGAGTCTTACCTGTCGCTGGTTTTCAAGGTGCACAGTTTGTGATCTGTGCTGAAGTGCCAGGGCTGAGTCCTAATGCGAACTGTTTTCTTTGCCTGAAGACAGACCAGACAAGGGAAGAGTACAAAATGGCCTTCTACTGTCAGAGCCTGGGTGATCTAGCAAGAAAAACAAAGTATAAAAGGAGTAAGATGGGAACTGGAAATGGAACAGCAACAGAATATAATGTTTCATTCCAGTCCTCTTCAGTTGATAATAAAGTTAAAACTGATGGGAGAACTCCTTTTTAATTACTAGCTCTTCTTTGGGCACTTGTTAATAGGTCACTACTCCCAGGAAGATTTTAGCACATACTGCTGTGTGCTTTCATGTTTTTCAGGAATTCTGTAGGAATTTGTTTCTTAAGTTACAGAAAACCCTATTCTAAATCTGGCAGCTGTTGGTCAGAACTAAATGCTTGGAAATGCAGATGTCATTATAGGTCAGTTAATTCCCTGTGGCTTGAGATTTATTTCCAAAGGTAGGAGGAATACAGAAAAAGTGTTTCTACAGTCAGCTCATGCTTTGGATGACACCAGCAGAGGGCAAAGATCTGAGAACAGATTCTTGTACTTGGAAAACACGTACATGCAGCACGAATAGTAATATTTATCCTTTTCTTGGAGTAGCTGGAGCTGAATATGTTTCAAGGTAGAGACCTTTCTTTGTTGTGTTCCGTGGGATAGAATTTGCCAGATCCATCTCAATATTTTCTCTTCCTGCATTATTCATACTGCTATCAAGTAGAATAGTTGACAAGTTTGGTGCTACAAGAGGGATTTTCTCTGTCATTACTTGGTTGAGTTTTTGTGAACAGGTGACCTGAAAAAAAAAATGAAAATAGAGAAGAATTATCCTGAAAACTTTCTTCCAAACTCTTTCCTAAGCAGCTTTGTCTTGGAATCTAAGGCTGTATCAGTGCAGATAAGGGGGTGAGCGTGCAGCTGTTGAGCCTTTAGATTCGCTTAATTCAACTTCACCTAATTGCCTCTGTTGCTGTGGCAGCACAGACCTGTAGGCTACCTGTCCTAATTTTTACTGCTGTCCTACACTGTTTCTGCAGCCTGTGCTGCCAGTAGCCATCGTCTCAGTAAAAAATGAGTTGTTCAGTGTAAAGTTAGCTCTTACCTAGGTACACAATCTTCAGTTCTTTTGACATGGGTAGGCCTGCAACAAGTTCCAACATCACTTTGAAAATGAGAGTTAACAGGGTTGTTGAGTAATCACAAAACAGTTGTCCTTGCTGTTTAAGAAAATGAGTTGTAGATGCTTTTTTCCCAAACTGACATTTTAGGGAAAAAAGAAAAACACCCAAGGAAGTCTAGATTTTGCCATTGCATTAAGGCCTTCTCAAGGAGAGGTTCAAAATGACTTCTAGGCAAAGGATGTTTTTGCAAGAGCAGCAGTCTGAAGTAAGAAGGTAAAACAGGGTTTTGTTAACTAAATATAGTTGACCTTGTTAGGGACACAAAAAAGAGTTTGGGATATTTTTCTCCAAAGTGTTTTATTATGCAATGCCAGCACTGGTAAGAGAGTCAAGAAGCTTAGGAAATAATCTTGTAAGGCTCTCAAAAACATGCAATGTACTCACCTCTGAGTTGTGTACACCTGTCTCAGTATGAATACTTCTGAACCTTTGCATGCATTAAGTGCTGTCTCCTGGGAAAAAAAAATACAGCACAGGAACACTGGTAAGAGTACAGAATGTTTGCTCAATTCATGTTTGTCAGGAGCTAGAATACTGACACTGCCATTTTATGGTGACAGTATATGTAACACTCGAGTATGCTGATACGTAGTGGTAACAAACTGCATAGAACACCTTTGCATTTTAACACGTTAGTGGGTGTAGAATCTGACTCAAGCCTACCCTGTTCCTCTTTCTCCAGCTTCCAATTTAAAATCCAGTTTTTGATTATGCAGAAGGTGAGCAAAGCCCCGTACCGAGATATGTACGCTGGGCTTGCTATAACATGTTGTTCTTCAAGCATCCAAGTGGCAGGAGCTTAGTGTTCCACACTGTGTCTGCAGTAAGGGTGTGTTGGTACTTGTACAAGGTGGGGAAAACTAAGGTACATCTGCAGGGGATTTGCTCTTTACACTTCAACACTTAGGAAGGAATCAGCTCTCAAGTATCTCCAGTACCTTTGCCACAGTCATTCTGGACATAATATCCATCCAAACACTGTCTGGGTTTTGGAATGAATGCTTTCTAACCAGTACGTACAAGAATGCCTGCCTGGGTTCTAGACCTAGCTTGTTTCTGCTTGAGGCTGATAGTTGCTCTCACTTGCATTGCCCAGTCTGATACAGCTGGCGACTGGAAGGACGCTGATTTCTACAACCTTGGGTAGCAGTTGAGATGGTTTCTAGAGAAAACCAGTCAGAAAACTTCACAGTGTCTATTTTCTTCAACTCTTAAATGAACTGGAAGCACCAAAGAGTACTCTCCAGCTCTTTAGCATATCCAGAAAGGCAATAAAGACAAAAGCTGTCCTGCTTTCGTACCACAAAGATCAAAGAATCAAGTGATGTCCTTGTATGGGAGTAAACTTAAGATTGCACAAACCTTTGTGCACATCAGATTGTAGCTTGCAGTAGAGTTTGCTTCCTTATTTATACCAGTAAAAGTTCCGTTTAGAAGGTCTACACATCCTGCAGGAGGAATAAAGCATTTTAAATACCACATTGCAAATCAAATTGTATGTATGTTTGGCATCAATATATTGCAACTACACTAAGAATGTTATTGGGTATTAACTGTGCTATTGTGAACAGCTGGCTGAACTAGATTAAATCAGTTTAAGTAGCTTCTACCTCAGACATCCTTTGATTTTCTTTTAAAATAAATTCTGAGACTTCAGAACTCTTATATGATATTCAGCATAAGTTATTTCATGTACATTAAACAAAGACTGCTTTTAAAGGCAAAACTAGAAGCGTTAACACTCTTGCTAGTAGGTGTGCTAGCTTTTAACAATGACCATGACTACTTACTGCAACAGGCCATTTCAAGATAAATAACTCGCTCCAAACAATAAGTCACAAACGAATAGCTACATAAGCACCGGAAAGTGCATGCACGGATACCTCGGGTATGTGTGCCATTACTGTGGGTGTAACCTAAGCTCGCAGTTTTACGCAAAGCCTTGTAATAATGTCAGTCCTATTGTGGATAGGAGAAGTTACGTTGGGCAGCCACAAGATGGCAGCTGGACGCGAAAGCTGCGCGAATACCGGCACAGTTTGCTCTGTGTAACGCTTTGAGAAGGTCCTTCTCAGCCTGCAAAATGTAGGAGCCCTACAGTCAGCTGGTGTGCAGAACTCAGCCCACAGCAGAGGAGCCTTTCTCAGTGTCTGCCTCTATAGAATGGGGATTGTTCTTAGATTGCAATAATTATTACATAATGCTTTACAAACTTTGTTCTAACCGTAATAAAAGGCAAAGGCACATTTGAATAGACTGTGCTGTTTATGTTCGCATTTCCCTGCAGTAAGGGAAATGACTGGTGCAGTAAAATCAGACAAGCAATAGAGAAATACCCTTACAAAGTTCCTGTCTGCTTAGGTTCTCCCAAGACAGTACTCCAAAAATGGAAAACAGCAAACAAATGTTGGTTAGTTGGGGATCCATATTTATGTTCTCATCATTTCTAAGAGCGAGTTCATTGGTTTGAGAAAGGATTTTTCTATGTCAAAGTCTGTCCAAACGTCTTCTCTGAGGAGATTCTTTTTCCTGCATTATTGAGCTTCAATTTTCAATTAAAATTTAAAAAAAAATCAAACTTGTTTAAATCAGTAAGAATTACATTTCAGGTTATAAGCTACATTTGCTTCTGGGAGCCTTCTTTTCTCCTTTCTCCATCATTTTTGTTTGCAAGTAACTTAAATAGCAGCTGAATGAGCAGGACATTATGTTAGGCACTGACAGGCAGATCAGTCAGTTAAAAAACTTCCAAACATTTGATTCTGATTCACTGCATGTCTGTGACCTTCAGCAAGTTTTGCTGACACTCCAATATGTTCTTCCTTTTCTAACACCCTAGAAAGCATCCCAATGATACCATACATCTGTATGTATAACCCACAGGTCAGATGGTCTAAAATACAGTTATTTGATTAAAAACCTGCAACGTGCAAAATTAAAGGCAGAAGTAGAGAGTGTGCTAGAAGAGAGAAAGCAGGCTGTGGGCAAGTTGGGAACAAAGAAACCTGTAGGGGAAGAAGCAATGGTAGGATGAACTTGACCCACATCCTGCTGTACTGCTGAACCGTGCAGCCTAGAAGAACCCCCTCTTCTGCTGTCTTTGCACATAAAATCTGACACTGCTTTTACTTAAATACCCTCTACTAAAACATTAATGCAACACGGATATTCGTGCAATCATCAACCCATCTCCACCATGCCCACTAGGATCCACGTCCTTACAGACAATCTGGGGTTGTCTCATTCACTTAGGCAACTAAAAGCATATGGCAGTTCCAAAAGAGACAGATAATCTTCCATCAGTGTACAGATCATGAAGTTAAAAGTATGAGTGGCTCAGTAAATGGTGCCAGCAGATTCCACGTTGACCTCCTGAGAAGAATGCAGTTGAGATGAAGTCTCATTTTCATCTGATCATGGACATTTCTTCCTGAAACAAAGTCTAACAACAGTTCTTAGAAACACTTAGAAACCACGTGAATTGTAGTAATTAGTTTCCTAAACTTTTATAAAAGTGCTTTGGCAGCTGCTGCTTTAAACTGTTTGGTTTTTTTAAACTAAAATTATATAAATATTCATATCTGACCTTTGGGAACATTAAACTATTGTTCACCCAATATGAGGAATTTCCCATTTATCTCACTGCTGTAATTGACTTTATGCAGAATACTATCCAACCATGGCAGGTAGATCTGGCATTTTCATTGTAGTGTCTTTGAGCATAAGTACTTCAGCAACATCATAGAGTGTAGCAAAGATTAGAAATCCCACTCACCTGTAAGCGCCTCCTTACGTGAACACATCTTTCAGGAGGGAGGAACACTGCATCCTGGCACTTCCTCATTGCAGTTCTGCAGGTCTGATCTCAGCTGCTGTTGCCTCTAGTTGGTTAGACCGTAATCTGGACAATAAACAAAAATTACAGTGCTGAAGTTGAATAGCAGGCTGTGACTACTGCCCGTAATTTATGTGGGGATCTCTTTCAGCATAGCCTGTCCTTAGTTTTGCCATGAAAGATAACTTCTCTTATATGCCTCGTGGGTGAGTGAGCAGAGAGACATGTAGCTCATCACTTGCTATCCCCGTGAGTCCATGATGCTGGAAAATCCCAAGAGAAGGCAAGAAGAAAGCATTCAGGCTTACAGCATCTGACACCTGCTATTTCCTGAAGCAGCACCTTCCAATCCCTGTAAAAAGCAGCAAAGGTGAGAGGCAGTTTAGAAAAGGGAATTTCATCCATCAGTGGGAACGCAGGCAGTGGAAATGGGAGAGAACCACGAGGTTGGATGCAGGCTGATACAATTCCACTGATAAAACCAGTAGTGTGTCATATCCCCAGAAGCCTGGATCCTTCTGCTTTTCATGAGATCCACACATAAAAGGAAATTAAGATCTTCCTCGCATATCTGATGGGACATTGTCAAAACGTGACATAAAGCAGTCAGGCTGAATTCAGGCGATGTAAGCAGCACTACTGCAGTGAATGTCATGCTGAAGGTCGGCTGCAGTTGGATTGCATATCTGAATTCAAGTAGGCTGTATACAGAGAAAGCAAAGCCTTATTTTGGTCACGAGAATGACATTTTGCTGTCTAACTTCAGACAGCGACTTCCTTGTGTACAGGAAGCACTGAATTGCAGATTCCCTTGGGCATTTCTACAGGAAATAAACCCAGCTGCAGCTCAACGTTTTGTTGTTTTGTATTTGTTTTTAAAAATCTGATCATTTTTGTGGTACTGCTGAGTTGGAAATCCATTGGAATTCTATCCAAATTCATTTGATTTCGACAGACCTGGAGCTTATTGTTCTAAGTTGAGATTTCAGTTTCTGTTTCTCATACACGTGTCATGATCCACAAGCCTGGGAGCTAATTACTGGAAGCAATCACAAAACCAGTATTTCTCAGATGATTTTCTCCAACGGTTTTTGTGTTCCTTTCAATACAACACCAAAAGTGCCAGACAACTTTTCCATCTTCTCCAGGTTGGGATGGGCAGGAGGCAGATTATAGAAACCCATTTATTTCAGGTTTCCATTTTAAAAAATTAATTTATGGTGAAGATGTTTTTCTTAGGATGGGGGAAGCTCTTCTAGGTTAAGCTAACATTCAAATGCTCAAGTAAAAGAAATTGGAAGCAAATATCAACTTACATTTGAGAACGCGGGCATAAAAGGACAGGTGACACAACGAAGCTGCTGCAGATGCCCAGCACAGCTCTGCTTTGATCTGCTGCTGGAACCATGAGTCATCTGCATTGTTTGTCACTCCTTCCATTGGCTGCCAGCAGACATTTCCTGGTAGGATGCTGTAACTCCTTAGTGCCTGCAGACTGTTTTCACGGGCTGATTTATTACCTGCCTGTAACGAATGAGATGGATGCTTTTTTCCTCACAGTGAGAGCTCTGAGGGAGGGATGTGATGATGGGGACACCGCAGCCGCCAGAAGCAGCGCCTCCTGGGGGAGAGTTCGGGCCCGCTGTCGGGAGAGGAGACTCAGAGAGCTTCGCGGCTTGTGGGACAAACTGGGTTTAAAATAAGTTGGCTATTCGAGAAGCCAAAACGACAGGGGGTTTATGCTGTTGATCACAGTTCAGAGCAGCAGTTCCAGTCCATGTCACGTGCAGTCTTTGTACGCTAGCGGGCTTACTGTGTACACAGCATCCTTCTCTCCTCTTGTCTTTTTCTTCCCATGTACCTTTCCATTTGTTAAGTTTGCCCCATGTGACTCCTGGATTGCAGCTTACTGCCCTTAGCCATTCCTTATCCCGTTTGAATCTTGCCATTCATATTCCATGAAACTCTTGCAGTGCACCCCATTGATGAGGGGAACCAGACATTATTCTTACCCTAGGATCCTACCGACTATGGCAAGTTCTGATGCTATGGGGACAGGCAGGTACTTTAGGAATCCCCACAGAAAGAAATCAGACCACAGGGCTGTGGTTACACTTAGAGTTTTAGAATTATGTGAACAAGCAAGCAGCATAGCTTACTGTTACCTACAAGGGAGACCTCACTGCAGCCTTCCAGTACTCAAAGGTAGCTTACAAGCAGGAGGGAGACCAACCTTTTACATGGTCTAATACTGATAGCACAAGGGAGAATGGCTCTAGACTAACAGAGGGGAAATTTAGGTCAGCTGGTAAAATGAAGTTCTTCGCTCAGCGGGCTGTAGGGCCCCGGCACACTTGCCCAGAGGGGCTGTGGGTTCTCCACATCTGGAGGTGCTCCAGGCCAGGTTAGTGGGGCCAATTCCTCTTCTAGATTTCCAATGTCCCTACCCCTGGTGATCCAGCACTCAACAGAAGGGCTGAACCACACTGCTGGCAGCTGGCTTGCTTATGCCTTACTATCCCCACAGCTGGTGCATGAAAGAGGGAGAGAGAATCAGGATTGATGTGTCAGCAGCTTGCTTCCATGTGGTGGCTCTGTGTGCTGTATGATCACTTTGTACTCTCCCACCACCTCCTGGAGCTGCTCATCCTGTGCCGTGCTGGAGCCCCTTGGACCCTGGGTCAAACTGTGATTGTTAGAAGCCCCTAGAGCTCGTTAGATGCCTCTAGATCTCTCACACTCTATTGGCTTCCCTTAGTTTTGTCCTTTCCCCCCTCTCAGTACAATCCAGTTCTGCCCAGTCCTTCATTATATAACCTAGTGGAGGAACCAAAACCAGTGGGGGCTGGGGGTAGGGGAAGTGATAGCAGCATCTTGTGACAGAGGGAGGGGGACATGCAGAACAGAGGAAAAGAGGAGACATGATGACAGAGAGACATGGGGATTATTGAGGGCTAGAAGGACATGGGATCTGCAGGGGCATGGGGGCATAGAAGATTGTGGGAACACGGGGGAACATGGGAACCCGAGGGACACAGGGAACGTAGGAGATCATGGAGACATGAGGGACATGAGAGATATGAGAATATGGGGGGCATGGGGTCACAACACAGAGCATCAGGGAGGTGGCATGGGCACTGGGGACAGGTGCCACTGCTGCTCCTCTAGAATGTGACAGCAATTCCCACCACCTACGTCAGTGGTGACATGAAGTGATACCCCAACTTCCCTTTTTCACCCCAGAAAGGAGACAGCGGCTGAGGATGATGGAGACAGCAGAGGAGAAGGCGCGGTAAGAGGGGAAAAGGGGGGATCCTGTATGGCTCTGTCCCTGTCCTTGCCCCCAATCCTGCACTGGTCCTATCCCCTGCACCCTTCCTGTCGGCAAATCCCTGCATCCCTTTCCCCAGCACTCCTCATCTTACACAGAGTTCTTGTCCCCAAATTCTCAACTCCATATGCCAAGCCAGTTCTGCACTGGGTTTTGCAGGGAGGAGGGCAGCAGTAGTGCTCTGGGTTATACTGGTCATGGTGGGCAGTACTTGGTTATACTGGTTGGGGTCAGTGAGTCATCCTTGCCAGCACTTTGCTGTTCTGGTCCCTGTGCCCCAGCCCCTGAACCTCCCTGTGTCCCCCAGGCCCAGCACCAGGATTTGTCCCCCCCACTGCTGCCCACCCCAGCTGCTGCTGCTGCTGCTGGTGACAGTGACACTGATGCCAAAGGTGCACCCATATGGCTTTCGCAACTGCATTGAGGATGTCAGGGCATCTTTGCGCTTCCGCTGCATCCAGCGCTTCCTGGAGTCGCCGGCCCTGGCAGTGTCTGACCTGCCACCACATGCCATCTCACTCAATCTGTCATACAACTTAATGCGCTGCCTGCAGCCCTCTGCCTTTGCCCGCCTGCCACGGCTGCTCACCCTGGACCTGGCCTACAACCATCTGGAGACCCTTTCCCCTGGTGCCTTCAATGGATTGGGTGTGCTGGTGATGCTGAACCTGTCTCACAATCGTCTGACCACACTCGCCGAAGGGGTGTTCAACAGTTTGGGCAACCTGTCCTCGCTGTGGGTACAGCATAACCCCCTGAGCACGGTGTCACCTGGTGCTCTGCTCCCCCTGCTCAACCTGCGCCGTCTGTCTCTGCGGGGCGGGCAGCTGAACGGCTTGGGGGCGGTGGCAGTGGCGGTGCAGGGCTTGGCACAGCTGGAGCATTTGGATCTATGTGAAAACAACCTGACAACGCTGGGGCCAGGCCCACCACTACCCGCCTCGCTGCACACCCTGCAGCTGTGCAACAACTCGCTGGGGGATTTAGCAGGGGGGAGCCCAGAGATGCTACGGCATGTGAAGATACTCGACCTCTCCTACAACAGTATCTCACAGGCGGAGGCCTTCGCCCAGCTCCAGCTGCACAACATCAGCCTGCTCCAGCTGATGGGCAACCCCTTGGATGTCTTCCGCCTGTTGGACATCTCTGACATCCAGCCTCGCAGCCTGGATTTCTCTGGGCTGGTGTTGGGGACTCATGGGCTGAAAAAGGTGTGCCTGAGGCTGCAGGGTCCCCGGGCCTTGCAGCGGCTGCGGCTACAACGCAACGGGCTGAAGGTGCTGCAGTGTAATGCGCTGGCGTCGTGTCCTGTGCTGCAAGAGCTGGACCTGTCCTGGAACCGGCTGCAGCAGGTGGGCTGTGCTGGCCAGCTGCTGGGCAAGAAGCAGCAGGAGGAGCTGGAAGTGCTGACAGTGGAGCACAACCTGCTGAAGAAACTGCCGTCTTGCCAGGGGGCCCAGGTGCTGCCACGGCTGTACAACATTTCCTTCCGCTTTAACCGCATCCTGACTGTTGGGTTCCATGCCTTCGCCTACGCCCCGGCCCTGCAGGTGTTGCAGCTCAATATTAACAGTCTGGTGTTTCTGGACAGGCAGGCACTGCGGGGGCTGCACAACCTGACAGAGCTGCGTCTGGACAACAATCTGCTGACCGATCTCTACAACAACTCCTTCATTGACCTCCACAGCCTGCGCACCCTCAACCTGCGCAACAACCGTGTCTCCGTCCTCTTCCCCGGTGTCTTCCAGGGGCTGTCTGAGCTGCAGACGCTGGATTTAGGGGGCAACAACTTGCGCCACCTGGCCTCACAGTCACTGCAGGGACTGTCCAAACTGCGTAGGCTGTACCTGGACCGCAACAGACTGTTGGAGGTGAGCAGCAGAGTGTTTGCCCCGGTGCAGGCTACCCTGGGGGTGCTGGACCTGCGGGCCAACAACCTGCAGTACATCTCACAGTGGCTGCACCAGCCACCACCCTTCCGCTACCTGAGCAGCCTGTACGACCTTAAGCTGCAGGCGCAGCAGCCCTATGGGCTGAGGATGCTGCCTCACCACTTCTTCCAGGGCTTGGTGGAGCTGCAGTGGCTGTCGCTGTCGCAGAACATGCTGCGGGCCATCCCACCAGATGTCTTCGAGGACCTGGGCAAGCTGCGCTCCCTGACATTGGCTGACAGCAGCAATGGGATACATGACCTGCCTGAGGGCATCTTCAGAAACCTGAGCAACCTGCAGTTCCTGGACCTGGAGAATGTAGGTCTGCACTCACTCACTCTGGAGGTTTTTGGCAACCTCAGCCAGCTGCAGGTGCTGCGCTTGGCCAGGAACGAGCTGAAGACCTTCAATGCCAGTGTTGCCAGCCGGCTGTCCTCCTTGCGCTACGTGGACCTGCGCAAGTGTCCGCTGAGCTGCACCTGTGACAACACGTGGCTGCAGGGCTGGCTGAACAACAGCCGTGTGCAGGTTGTCTACCCCTACAACTACACCTGCGGCTCACAGCGCAATGCCTACGTCCACAGCTTTGACACACGTGTCTGCTTCCTGGACCTGGGGCTCTATCTCTTCGCTGGGACTGCGCCGGCAGTGCTGCTGCTGCTGCTGGTGCCGTTGGTGTACCACCGCACCTACTGGAGGCTGAGGTACCACTGGTACCTCCTTCGGTGCTGGGTCAACCAGCGGTGGCGGCGGGAGGAGAAGCGCTACCTGTATGACAGCTTTGTGTCCTACAATTCGGCTGATGAAAGTTGGGTGTTGCAGAAGCTGGTGCCTGAGCTGGAGCGTGGCGCCTTCCGACTCTGCTTGCACCACCGTGACTTCCAGCCGGGCCGCAGCATCATTGACAACATCGTGGATGCTGTCTACAACAGCCGGAAGACGGTGTGTGTGATGAGCCGCAGCTACCTGCGCAGCGAGTGGTGCTCTCTGGAGGTGCAGTTGGCCAGCTACCGGCTGTTGGACGAGCGGCGTGACATCCTGGTGTTGGTGCTGCTGGAGGACGTGGGCGATGCTGAGCTGTCTGCCTACCACCGCATGCGACGGGTGCTGCTGCGGCGCACCTACCTGCGCTGGCCTCTCGACCCCACAGCCCAGCCGCTCTTTTGGGCACGGCTGAAGAGGGCACTGAGGTGGGGAGAGGGAGGAGAAGAGGAGGAAGGAGAAAGTTTGGGTGGAGGAGCAGGAAGGCCCAGGGAGGGAGACAAGCAGGTGTAGTGGAGGTGTCAGCTGGCTGTAGGATGGAGGAAGATCAGCCGTAGGGTGGAGGACAACAGCTGGCCAAAATGTGAAAGAGAACCATCCATAGAGTAGAGGACAACAGCTGGCCAAAGGGTGGAGGAGAACCAGTGATAGGCTGGGCAGCAACTATCCGTATAGACAACCAGCTGTAGGATGGGGTGCAACAGCTGCCCGTACAGAAGACTACAGTTGACCGTAGGGTTGAGGAGAACCAGCCATCAGATGGGGGACAACTGATCATAGGGTGGAAGACAACTAGCTGTAGATGGGAGAAAAGCTGTCTGTAAGATGGAGGACATCCAGCCGCAGGGCTACAGAGAGGAAAGCAACTGGCTGTGCAGAGGAGGAGAAGCAACCACAGAGAGAACCACAACAGGGCTTTTCTCATCCCAGAATGCCAGGTTTCCATCCCAAAGGACACCAGAATGGCCTTTCTCGCTCCAGATACTCAGATCTGCCAACTCAGATGACTGTCGAAATTCTTATGTACTGTAGAATTAGATTCTGAGATTCCCCTCCAAACAGGCCCAAGAACAACCTTCCTCGCTCTAGACTGTTACCCTCAAACTGGCTTTTCTTTCCTCGAAATGCTTGTACCCATCCCAAAGGACCCCCAAAGTGCTCTTCTCCCCCAGAGCAGAGTTTCTGGGATCCCACAAGGCATTGCCCCCCTGGGGTGCAGCAGGCTCTGTTGTGCACAGACAGGGGTCCCCAATAAAGCGAGGCTACTCCGCTTCACTTGTCCCTTGCTCTGGTCATATGTGGGGTGAGGTGGATTGGGATGGCATTTTATGGGGCCAGACGATGGCACAGTCAGATGAGGGGAGCGCTGTCCCTGAGTTCTTTTTGGACATTGTTTGGGATTCTGGCTGCAAAATGGGGGGAAAACAGAGATTCTGAGCAAAGAGTGGGCTGAGCTGGGAGAGCCCAGGTGGTCTCAAACTCCTGCAAACCCTCTCAGTATCACCAGAACCCCCTGGAGCTCCCCTTTCCCCCTTGGAAAGCCCTAGTGTGCTCAGCCTCTCCTGCCTTCAAGGTTCCTCCAGGCCCTGCATTCTCCTCCCAAAGTCCTGTTTTCCCTTCAAACACCTTTAATATCCCCAGAGACACCTGGAGTTCCCCCAGAACCACTCCAGAGTGCCCCATTTACTACCCTCAGAGCCCGCTATTGACAGGGATGCGCTTTGTGGGAGGAAAGGCATCCTCAAAATCCTTGCTGATGTGTTCTACCTAAGCTTGAATCCAAAAGCAAAAGTGCTGTAGTAGTTTCAGGGTGGGTCTGTTTATTGTTTGTTTTTGCCTCTTGTAAAATCGATGAGCAGCTCGGGAGAGGAAAGTTTAAATTCTGGTACTGGGAGAAACAAAGGGAAAACGAATGGGAGGAAGAAAGAAGACGAAGCCAGACTCTTTGCAGCTGTGCCAAGGCAAGGGACAAGAGAGGACACATTGAAATACAGGAACTTCCATTCACATGGTCACACATTGGGACAGGTTGCCCAAAGAGGTTAGAAAAGCGCCATGTCTCTGGATATCCAAGTATGGGATGTGGTCCTGAGCCACCTCCTCCAGCTGGACCTGGTCCCCAGGAAGGGGAGAGCGGCCAGGTGATGATGGCCTGAAGTGGTTCACAGCTATGCTATAAATACATAAACACGAGCTGCATGCAGAACCACTTGCTTTACATCTTTCCTTGCATGGCAATGGTTTCTGAGGGCTTTCCAGGAAACCCCAGCACAGCAGCAGGACCTCAGCACGACCAGATGCACTTGTGGGACTCCCTGAAGCAGTGGGACACTGAGAGGAACATTCCCAGGGTACCCATGGCGTCGTGCTGGAAGAAGGAGCAGGAGGGAGGGCAGAGGCAGAGCCAGAAGCAGGGGCACAAGCAGACGCCTCCACCTCAGCCAGCTGAGAAGGGCTCCCAGGCTGCCTGCCCAGACCTCAGATCCAGCCTCAACTCAGCACGAGAAAAGCACAGCAGATTCTTATCATATTTATTAATATTTTTTTTTTTCCAATACAGTAAATCCTCTCTACAGCGACAGGTTAGTTAAATCTGGTTTACATATTGCCTTCTTGTGTGAGAAATGTGGCCTCGACACCACTGTGACAAAACCAGTTTTGCTCAGACAGGGAAAGGGGGAAATGCGTTCGATTCTGATGTGACTGGGAAAAGAGGAGAACCAGTAAAATCAAAAGAACAAACCACAGAGGGAACAGAACGAACCAACACAACCCAGGTGGGAAACCGAAGGCAAGCACGGCCAGACCACCTCAAATGGAACCACACGGCACCACTTGTACGAGAGAACAGGGGGCGCAAACCCAAAGGTCAGGGACGGACAACCCCATATATATAATATGTATAGGTATTTATATATATATCATCTGAAGGACACGCTGAGAAATGGGTGATCGCAGTGGTATCTACAGAAAAAAAAGTCTGCTTAGCATTTAGAGTCACACCAAGAAGGAAGCACGTAGCAGAGTGAATGGGGGAAAACAGGGACACTGGCATCGTCAGCGTTATGGGGTCCGAACCAAAGTGCCGGCCTTGGGGCCAGGAGCCCTCGAGCACCTGCTGGGAGCCCTGTGGCCCCTTGATGGGGGCGAGGGCCTGTGGGGAAAGTGCTTCAGGGGGCTGCAGGGGACCTGCTCCAGCCCAGATGATCCAGAGCAGGTGGATCCTGTCCCAGGGCCGCCATGAGACCCCCAGCACCCATCACCAGAGCTGGGCTCTCCTTTGGCCCAGGCACAGGAGGAGCTGGGCTGGGTGGCCGATCGCAGGGTTACACAACGATGTGGCTGTCCATGCCACCTGGGGCTGGATGGGGCCTTGCAGACTGCTTAGAGCCAAGCCCTTCATGGCCCGCTCCCTGCAGAGGTGAGACACGGGGGAACCATCTCCCATGGACAAAGCCAGGTGTGGAACGTTCCCTGTGTGCCATGGGGTCACCCTGCAGAACCGGCACGCCACAGTGGGGTGCTCTGAGGGGCCAGGCAGGGGTGCAGGGGGTTTCCTGGAGTGGGGTGGTCTCATCTTATTGCTAATGGCTCTGCTGCAGTGACAGCCAAAGGCTGAGGGGGTGGATGCTCATGGTGATCCCAGACCCAGCAGCCTCTGAACTTTGGTGGCCTCAGACCAGGGCCACCACATCAGGGACCGGGTGAGGCAAGGGGCAGACACTGCCCCCACATTGCATTTTTGGTGGCAGGCAGCAACTGACCTTTTTGCAACAGGGCCCAGGCAGCACTGTGCATGGGATGTGGGCTGGGGGGATGCCCGTGACCCCCTTTTGCCCTGATGGCTCAGGCTGGGACCTCTGCCCCTGCCCTGGGCAGCCCCCAAGGTGCATGGCAGGGAGGGGCACAGGGAGGATGCAATTGCTCACGATGCCCAGTGCACCCGGGCTGCAGGTCCTGCCCGTGCCAGAGATCCCACGCAGTGCCCAGGGAACGGCTGCTGGGGAGAATGGGAGCTGCGGCCCCAGGATGGGCACTGTGCTCTCCCCAAAATGACCAAGCGCAGCACCCCAGCCCTGGCTTCCTTCTGGCTTGGCCACCCTTGAGAGACCGACCTACCTCTCTGCATCCTGCTGTTCTGCTCACGTCCTGCTGTCCTGCCCATGTCCCACTGTCCTGCTCCATTCCCCCATTCCACCCCCGCTCACCCATCCCAGCCACGTCCTCCTGCCATCCTCCCTTCCACACCAGGGCCGAGGCAGTGCTGGGGAGGGTGAGAACTGAGACAGAGCCACGTGTGACTATTGGGCTGAGCTGGGACTCAGAGCCTGCAGATGACAAGGAGAAGCTCCTCTGGTGCCCAGTGAAGGAGGGAGGCCAACAGCAAAGAAGATAAATCAACCCCAGGGGAGCGAGAGCACTGGCAGAGGTCGTCCGCGGGGCGGGTGGGTGCTGGCGGGATGCTGACGTATGGGAAATGGCTCTGGAGGAAACGGTGGTGGCAGCCACGGGCCTCAGCACGATACCTCCATGGTGTGGTTGATCTGCCCCATGGCCTCGCTGCTCTCCGAATGGGTACAGGCACGCGGTCGGGCACCTTCCACAGAACTGGCGCTGGTGAGCGAGGCTGTGCGGGAGCGTGCCAGGCGGGTCATGCTGGCAGACGGCACTGCATGGGCACAGAGAAGGGGTCTGGGTGCTCGGCCAGGAGAGGTTGGGCTGACACTGCCTAATGCAAGCAAAGCTGCTGGCCTGGAGCGGGTCCCCCAAGGCAGATGGCCCCAGGCACAAGCTTGCAGCATGCAGTGCTACAACATGAGCAGCTCCGTGCTGGCAGAGGATGTGGTGCCCCAGCCAATCCCCTGGGCAGTGAGGCAGTGGGAAGCCCCAGCCACCATGCTCCAGGGGGGTGTGAATGGGGACGGGAGCTCTCCCGGCTCCCTGGGGTGAAGGTGGCGCCTTCCTCCAGCCAGGAAGCACGGAGGGCATCGCTCCTGTCCTGTGGAAGAGCACACGGTGGGCATGCTGCCTGCATGGGAGGCTCGTCTGAATGCCATCGCTCAGCCCTCAGCCCTGGCTCAGGGTGGAGGCAGCCCAACGCTTTGGGCAAAGCGCAGCAGAACAGAAGGTGCTGTCTGGGAAAGGCCAGCCCCACAACCAGGCTGCTCCCAAAGGCGCCCCAGCAGCCTCAGGGCTCAGCGTCAGGAGGGCACCATGCAGGGCGGGCAGCACCGAGCGGTACCTGCACCTCCACTCAGCCTCCGATCCTTCAGGTGGGCGACTGGCAGGGCGGGAGCAGGAGGAGGGCAAGGAGGGCAGAGAGAGAACGTCAGCTACACTGGGGGCTGCACGGGGCCACAGGTCTCCTCCTAACCCAGCGCGTGCACAGATTTGCGTGGCTGCACACAGACCTGCACACACACACACACACGCAGAGACCCACACCTACACAGTTCTCTTGCACACAGAGCCTGTACGCCCCACACCCCAAACACACGGATGGGCACCTCGTACACATTCAGCACTCCAGACACGTTTGCAGCTCTCTGTCAGGATGGGTACACGCAAATGCCAGGCTCTGCCACACACACATACACACACGCACACCCAGGCAGCCCCGTGCCCAGCCCTGGCACTCACTGTAGCCCATGCCTTGCAGGAAGTACTTGAAGGCTTCGGTCAGCTTGCCGGGCTGCAGGGAGAAAGCAGAAGGAGCTGAGGCACAGTGCCACACCACCACCAGTACCCCCTGGGAGCCCTGTGCCCACATCAGCCCAGCCCTTTCCAGATAGGAGCCGCACCAGTGCATGTCTCAGGGGCCAGTATAACTCAGCTGCTGGAGAGCACTCACCTGTGTGACCTGGGGCAGCCCACCAGAATCCGCCATCTGCACACAGAAGGTTCTGGTTAGTCTGGGGGACGCCTTTTCTCCCACCCCAACCCCTGGTGCCCACTGGCAGGATTCTACTGCCAGGCCACCCTGCTCACTCCAGTCCCACGTGAACCTGGGGCAGGTAGACAGGGACAACCTGTAATGCTGGAGCACGGAGCAACAGGGCACTGCACAAGCAGTGGGGGCCACCCTGATGCCCTCACCACCCACTTACCTTCAGAAAAGTGGTGTTTGTGGGATCCAGCTTGGAATTACACTCCACCTGTAGGTGAGAGGGACAAGAACGAGCACCCTGGGGTGCCTCATGCCTGGCAGAAGCTGCCCACAGGTACCACCTTTGGTCCCAGCACCGTGCTGGCCAGGCAGCCACGTGTGCCCATGTGCCTACAAGCATGGGTGCCTACAGTCACTTACCACACCCTCTTCAGCAGGAGCGTTGTCTCCCACCACCAACATCACAGGGCAACTGGAAATGAGAGGATGAAATGGCAGTCAGGGCTCTGGGCTCCTTGCCCTGGGCGGTGCCTGTGCAGCTCTTACCGCAGTGTCTTGGCGTTGGGCACAGTGCCGGGCCGGTTGATGTCCAGATCCCTGCGGCTGGAGGAGAGAGAGAGAGCCAGTGTGAGCATGTAGGCAGGCACAGAGCTGGGCTATGCCCACAGAACTGCTCTGTGGAGCCCTGCTGTCCCAGCACACTGTGATCCCCCAGTATGCTGCTCCCTGCTGGCCTGCACTAGAGGGTGACAGCAGCACTCAGTGGGCTGGAGGTTGCCGTGACCTCGGGGCCACCTGGCAAAGATGGCGGTGTTGCTGGATGCCGCTTACCCGTTGTACATGTTGAGGAAGAGCTGGAGGTTGAACTGGTTCACCACGCTGCCAATCTGCTGCCTGTAACTCTGCACCAGCTCCGTGTTGTTCACCAGCTCCTCCTGCACCACCAGGGGACAGAAATCAGGACCAGGGCTGCCAGGTGTCCATGCCTTGCCCACTGACAGCAGAACAGCAGGATGCAGGCACGGATCTCACCCAGCACTTGGCTAGGGCTGAGCCCCAGAGCAGGCAGAAGAGATGCAGGCAGGGCTTTGCCAAGCCCATCCCCAGCACCACAGCACCCAGCACATGGGGGTAGGGCACAGCTAGGCTGGGATGCTGTGGGGACAGGTGCAGGCAGAATGCAGGGCAGGCAGCCCTTACCTGGCTGAACAGGTGGGACAGGACCATGTCTGGCAGTGTGCTGGTGAGGCCTGAGAGCTGTGGAGGGAGCACAGGGAGTCACCATCCTGCCCTGGCTGGCTCCTGCCCTGGCACCACAGGTGGCGTAGGATGGGGGCCTAAGCACCTAAGGGTGCCACCAGAGCTTGGAGGAGTTTGGGGTTCTGCTCACCTTAGCAGCTGCCCAGTCAATCCAGCCTTTGCCATTGGGGTCAATATTCATGAGGACCAGCCCTTCAACCAGGTCGGGGAAGATGAGCTGCACCAAGCAAGAGAAGGGATGTTCAGCACGAAGAGGCAATGTGCCCACCAGCAATACTGCCCACTGTGCAGGCACTACAGCCAGGCCAGGGGCTTCCCAAGTTGTCCTGGAGCCCTGGGGGCCAACATGGCCCTGTCTTGGCACAGCACTGCCATCCCAACCTCCACTGTCCCCCAGGAACCTTCACGGCATCACTCTGTGCCTGGGGTGACAGCTCAGGCTCCTGCCCACATGCTGGGCTGGCAGGAGGCACAGTCAACGCAGGGCCACTCCATGCTCACCGCAAACTTGGCCAGCACGTAGGCTCCTGCCCCAACACCGATCCCGATCACATACTTGAATCTGGAAAGCAGAGACGTACGCATAAGGAAATGGTGGGAAGCCCCAGGGCATCCCTTCCACAAGGATGGGGCACAAAATGACACACGGGGTACTGGCTGGCCAGGACAACTGCCCCAGCCCCAAGCCCTCCTGCCGCGCTGCTCCCTGCACCAGCCGAGGAGAGGTTGACTCACCCGAAGTGCTGCACCACGCTGGGTAACATGGCAGCCAGCTGGTCCATGGATGGGTACTGGTACCTGCAGCAGGGAGGGCACAGGGAGGTGGTTGTGGGACCTGGGAAGAGCTCACAACCCTGCTCACCCACCAAGCACCACATTGCCCACCCTGGGCTCTGACACAGCAAGCGGGTGGTTGCCCTGGCAAGGACATCTGGTGGGCATGGCAGGTCCCCAGCACAGGCACCTACCCCTGAGGGAACTGCGAGGCTCCTGCCTGCTGGCCTGGCGCATCCACGTGACACACCACAAAGTGTTTTGTGATCTCCTGCATGTCTTCATAGTTGAAGAAGGTGTTGAAGCAAAGCTTGTCTGTCAAAGGGAGGCAGTGATCAGAGACCAAACACCCAGCACAGGGCCTGGTGGGTGAGGGGAGCATGGGAGACTGCCTTGGCCAGGAGCCGACGTGCCAGCAAAGCCTCCCACCCCCTCCCTCTGAGCTTCTGGCCTCCACAGCAGAGACCACGGCTGCTGTTAGCAAGGGCTGTGTGTCCCTAGCAGGAATGGAGTGCATGGGGATGGACACCAAGGACTGCGGGACAAGGCTGCAGGGGCTCAAAACAGCCACACTGCTCCCATCCAGCATGGCTGAGATCATTCTCATCCACTCCATGCTGCCTTCAGAAAGAAGCAGGATGGCTAAAATGGGCAAAGTGGCTCCTTCATCCCAGGCACTCACGGTTGAGGCCCACATCGTGGTACGTCAGGATGGCAGGGCGGTTCCCCTTGGGTGAGCCCCGGATGACCACGTGCAGCAGCCCATAGGGCGTCTCAATGTCGTGTTCCTGGAGGAAGAGGAAAGATGGGTGACATTTGTCCTGCCCCGCACACCCCTCCTGCCCCAGCAACCCTCCCAAGAGTCGTGTGTGTGTGTGTGTGTGTGTGTGTGTGTCTGTGTGTGTGGCCACAGGCTTCAGTGTGGCCAGCATCCCAGAAATGCCTTCCCCATGGGAACCATCTGTGGGTAAGCAAGCACCTGGCAGGCAGCACCATGGAGATGTCTCCTGGGGCTCACGGCATGCAGCCCCACAGCCCTGGGCAGGCATGAGCCCCAAGCTGCAGGGGGCCGTGCATCTAGGCCAGCAGCAGAGAGCAGGGCATTGCATATAAATACTCCCAGCCTCCATCAGCTCCCCACAGGGCGGAGTTTTCCCAAGCTGGATGCAGCTACTGCATATTTAATAGCAGCCTGTGGATGGTTCCTCTGCAGGCTCTCTGTGACTCCTCACAGGATCCACACGCCAACTCCACATCTGCCTTCAGCTTTGACATGAGCAGATTTCACCCATGTGGAAGGCTTGGGATCCCCAGGCTTGGCAGCAGCAATGAGCACAGTCTGTCCAAATGCAGCTCAACCTCTTTCCAGAGGCACAGGAGGCTGCCCAGGAGCCAGTGCAGGAAAATGCAGCCATGCCCCAAATAGAGAGTACAATAAATACAGAGCATCTGGGATGGTACAGGACAGCTGAGATGGGACAGGAAGACCACAGGAAGGGATGGAGAGCTGGGATGGGGTGGGAAGATTTAGGATTGGAAAGGTGTACGGGATGGGATGGGATCCAGGATGGAATGGGTGTATCCACAGGATAGGATGAAGGGATAGAGGTTTCAGATGGAAGGAGATGTGATGGGATAGGATGGTTTAAATTGAGATGAGAGAATGTGGGACGATCGAAGAGGGCTTGGGATGGCAATGATCATGGGATGGGGCAGGTGGGAAACAGGACAGGACAGGAGGACTCAGAGGGCAGGAGACCACGACAGTTTTGGCAACAAGATGTGAGAACAGTGTGACCCACTTGGCCTGGATTCACTACACCTGGGGCAAATAGGCAGCGGTCAGATCCCAAAGATCGCCCTGGAAAATGCCACATCCTGAGCTCAAAATGAGAGCTAAAATAACCGCAAAACCCCATGCTCAAAAATAGCCATGCCCCACAGAGAGACCAGGAATGCCTTGTGCCACCATTTCCATGGCTTGGGAGGGCAGCGATTGCCAGAGAGAGAAGGGGAGTAAAGGACAACTCCTTCCTGACCACCCTCTGACCCTCACTTCAGCCTCACTAAGGAGGAGGGAGCAGAAGAGATCTCATTGCCAGGGTACCATTTCAGGGCACAGATGCCCTCCAGCCCTCACTTGCTGCCATCAGAGCTTCTCCCAGCTAGGGGGTTCCAGGCCCGCTGTCCCAGGCCCACAAGGTCACACTTCATCCTCCTGCCCAAGCCCTGACAGCTACAGACAAGGCCCATGGATGGGATGATGCAGGGGGAACGGCCCCTCCACAGCCACGTGGGCTCCAGCAGGCCACGCGCCACCAAGGACTGTGAAGGACGCAGGCCTCAGGCAGGAGGAGCAGCCTGAGGACGGATGCTCCTTGCCGTGGTGCCTCTCCATGCCATGAGCTGCTGCCCCCAGGGACTCTCAGCACCGGAGGACAGCTCAAGGGCTCCTCAGAGCTGATGCTGAGCTCCCCAAGGACACCCTGACCCAGCTCTCAGTCACACCATCACTCCTCTCCCACGGCTCACGGCACCCAGAATCACAGAATCACCCATCCCTTCCCTCTCGCCCACCTCTGCAGGTGCTGAGCAGGGACACCGTGACGGATGAGGAAACTGAGGCAGCAGAATGGCTTGGCCCAAGGTCACCGAGCAGGAGGTGTCCACACAGCCCAATCCTGGGCACAGAGCTCTCTCCTTCCTTCCAACACAGCCCCGTCTGCGCTCCCAGCTCCAAATCACAAGCCTGAGCTGGCATCTCCTTCCCCAGTGCTGTGACCCCCACCCAGCAGGCCAGGCACATCCCTGCCTGCTGCGGCACTGCCGGGTGCCACAGCCCTGCCCTCTGCCGCAGATGCGTCCGTGCTCGCTCAGAGGAGAGGCTCGTGATGGAGAGAATTAAGCTAACAAGAAGGGGGTCACTGACCACCCATGGCTGCAGCGAGGTGGCGTGGGGGCTGCAGCACCCTTACGTGCCTGGCAGAGCCCAGCTCCGTGCACTGGGTTCAGCACCCGCAGGGCTCCCACTTGCCCGTCACAGCACTCCCACCTGCCCACCCTCCACACCAGCCTGTTGCCATCACTGCAGAGGCTGCAAGACATCCGAGGGGTCGCTCCCAAATGGCCGTTCCCTGGTCCTCCATCCCCTCTGCTCCCCCCAGACCCTGGGTGGGATGCAGCAGGGCCCCCCCTGCCCACAGTCATCCCAGCACAGCTGCAGCCATGGCTCAGCTTGTCCCGGCACAGAGCTCCGCCAGGCCCGAGGAGGACGAGCTCAAGGACAATGCGGCCCCGAAACCCGTGCCGCATCAGGGATGCAGTGGTGGTGTGGCCGCATGAAGGAAGGGCTCCCCGGCGGGAGCTGCGCCCACCCCATCACCTCCCGGCACACAGCTAGCCCCGCTTGGTGCTGTGATCCATCCTGAGCCAGTGGGGTAGGAAGTGGGGCAAAACCCAGGGGGAAGAGAGGGCGGCACGGCGCCGGTGGTACCTACCCCATCCCAGCACTCGGGCATGGTGAGGAGCGTGCGGGAGAGGATGCGCGGTCAGGGAGGGCCGGGCACGGGGTCCCAGCGCAGGGCACGGGGTCCCAGCGCAGGGCACGGCGCTGCAGCGGGCTGGGATGAAGCAGAGCTCTGCGCCGGCTCAGCCCCTCGCCTCGATTTATAACGGAGCCCCAGCCCTGCGCTAAGCCCTCCCTCTCCCTTCCCCCTCAGCCGACGTGCAGCCCCAGCAGGTTTGGCCTCCATGGCAGGCGAGCGCTGCGATGCAGCCGGCACTCAGCCATTGGCTGCCACGAGAATTATTCATGCTCCAATTGGCCCCAAATACCCTTGTTTATGAAGAAAAACGCCCGGCGCCGTGCGGTACCCGCTCCATCTTCCCTCCTTCGGCAGACCAAACAGGCACAGGCACACAGATGGGGCTACGCTGACACCGTCTGTGACACAGAGCATCCTCAAGGCAGAGCTCAGCACCCCTCGCCTGCACCCAGATGTGTGCACACTTGGCTCACTGCAAACACGCAGAGTCATGCTTGAGCCTGCAGCCATCCAGGCCGGAGCCTGCAGCAATGCACATGCACAGGGAAGCCCTCTGCACTCACAAACACACACAGCAGGTGGCCTGTGTATGCACATGACCACGCACACAGAACCTTGTGCACATGTGTGGACACAAACGAATGTTGCCCCAGTACGCCCTCACCTCACCCAGGAGCATAAGAAGGTCTGTGGCCAGGGGGGGAAGGTGCAGATATGAAACAAGAAACACAGTGTGGTTGTGTGGCCACAGAGAGGTTACATGACACGCTGGCGTGGACACAAATCCCCCCTCTCCTGCCAGGTGCAGGATGATAGCACAACCCTAATTCAGCCCAAACCTGGACATGGCCAGCGGCAGGTGAATAAGCCAGGAGGAACAGCCCAGCATCCCCAGTGGGTCAGACCGCATCCCTGCGCCACACAGCAGGAGCATGCTTGTCTCTCCACCTGCCCAACGGTCCCATCCAGAAACAGTTCCTCACCATCACGGCCCCGTGTCATTCCCTGCACCTTCAGCCCAACCCTACTGGCTGATAATCAGATAGAAGAAGTCCTGCAGCCTGCAGCGCCTGCCTGGCCAGGCTGGGTAACCACATTCCATTGCTGGACCAAGGCAGCATCCAGCAAGGACACTCCTGCCTCCCTGGCCCAGCATGGCCTCGTTGCCCAGCCTCAGGGAGGCATCTGGTGCCCACTGGCATCCCTTGCCACGTTTGCCTCCATGGCCCAGCACACGTCACAGCAGTGGCTCAGTGTCTCTGAGCAACTTCCCAGGCCAGGGCCTTGAGCACTCCTGTCATCACCAGTGTGCACATGGCTTCCTCATGTATCCTCAACTTCACTACCACGTAGTGGAGGGACAGGTGGGAGAAAGGGCAGACAGACAGGCAATGGGAAAGCCTTCACCTTGCCTTGAACAAGCCAGGCTAGCTCGGAAACTTTGCACTGCATTGTTTTGTCCTGTGGGCAACTCCACCCCAAAGCCCTGGAGACGCACCTGTGCTGGTGAACAGCCATGTGGGAGGGGAAGCCCAGGTCCCAAATGACTTCTGATACAGGAACAAAGCTCTGCACAGGTCTACGTGCCATTGTGCCAGCTGAAGGCATGTAAGTCCATGGGCCCAATGGGAATCATCCCAGGACACGGAAAGAACTGGATGATGTTATGGAGAGACTCCTCCTTCAATTATTTATTCTCCAATGGTCTTAAGAATATGGAGAGGTCCCAGGCAACTGGAAGCTGGAAAATGTTGTCTTAGTTTTCAGGAATGGTAAGAAAAATCATTATTTTCCAGGCCTGCCTGTATCACTTCAGTGTCTGGTAAAATTATGGAGAAGATAATTCTAGGAGTTATTGAAAAACACCTGAAAGACACAGCAGTCATTGGTCACGTTGGTCAGGGGTTCTCAAGTGTAAAGTCCTGCTTAACTCATTTAATTTCCTTTTACGACAAGGTTACCCACCTAGCTGACAAAGGACAGGACATGCTCTGGATTTCTGCAAAGCTTTTGAACCCGTCTCTCACAGTAGCCTTCTGGCATGGTGTCCATCTGTGTGCCAGACAAGCACGCACTGTGAGGGGTGAACAACTGCCTGCTAGGGCTCCAAGAGCTGTGGTAAGTGGGTTCCCCCAGACTGGTGCGGCTGCAGCCACAAGCAGCAAGCACAGCAGGCTTGCACCCAGCCAGCACTGCAAGAAGCACATCGGGGCTGTGGTGAGGCTGTATGGAGAGCACCGGCCCCAGGACACCGATTCACAGGGATTTCAGGGGCTGTGGACACCCACATGGGACCCCAGCAGCACGGCATCAGCATCACCACCTTCTTCTCCGTCCTCACCCTTGCCTTGGTGATAACAGACTGTTCCCACTGGCTCTGCAAACCACACCTCCCTGCATCCTGACAAAACTCTGCTGTGCCACACCGCACACGTGGGCGATGGAGGCTGAAGGGGCCAGTCCTAAAAGGCACTGCATCTGCTGACACAGGGACCGAGGCTCTCCTGCCCCTCTGGCAGGGTGACTGAAATCAGCTTTAGTTGCTCCTCACAGGCACTGGGGGTTCAGCACAGGAGTTGAGAAGGTGCAGCCAGCACTGCCAAGCTTCAGATCATCAATGTGTGCCGTGAAGTACCCTTACAGGGACCTGGCAGAGGACACGCTGTGCTCCAGCCTCCCTGCTGCTGGCAGAGGGACAGGCAACAAGCCAGGGACCAGCAGCCCACATCGAGATCCCTGTGTACTGACACCCCAGTTGACATGAGGGGAGCACGGCACAGGTTGAGCCCAAGACAGAAGTAGGGACTGAAACACAGGCTGGGACCAGGCGCAAGCAGAGCCTGAAGGGACTCACGGCCTCAGCCTCCTGCTGCCTGGCAGCCCCAGGGCCAGGCTGCTTCAGGAGAGCTGGGCAGGACAGGGGCGACTGGGGCTTTCTCTCCCAAAAAGAGAAGGACACTTTCACCCACCCTTATGTAACTGGGGAGCTGGCATCACCCAGGGAACCATTGCCATGGCAATGGCAGGGGGCTGGAAAAGCAGCTTTGTTTTTAGAAGAGAACATCAGTCCTAAAAAGGTTTTGTCCCCGGCTCGTTGCCAAGTGCCCACCAGCCACATCCGACCGCCAGCACCAAGTGCTGCAGCAGGCACCAGGCCAGCGTCCCCAGGGGCTCTGCAGGCAGACCCACAGCCCCAGCCCTTCCCCACAGCACAGATACCAAGCAGCCACTGCCTGCCCCATGCTCTGGGGCAAGAGACAACTCCTCTTCCACTACAGCCAGTCTTACCTTCCAGTCTGTGTCAGCAGCAGAGAGGAACACGTCCGAGTTGTCCTGTGGGAGAAGGAGAGCCATTAGATACTGAGGGCTGGAGCACACCAGTGTCCACGTCCTGGCAGCCAACACGCGGGGTTGGAGCCAGAGCTGTTCCCCAACTCACCAGCTCAGCATCCTGGCCACGCAGCAGTGGCTTCTCCTCAGTGAAGCGCAGTTCATGCAGCCCCGCCATGGTCATCTCCTGCAGCAGCAGCCCTGTCCGAGGGGAAGGAGACATCAGCACCCTGCTGGGTCCTGCTTCTGCTGTCCCTCAGCTCTCCATGAGCCCTTCTGCCCAGAAAGCCAAATCAGTTCCCATCTACTCGGCCAATGGAGCCCAGTGTGCTGGCTTGGCCAGGGGCTGCAGGAAATCCAGCTTTGGGGCCAGGAATGGAGGCGAGGGCCGGCAGCACTTGGAGGAGCTCAGCTTCTGCCCAGATCCAGCTCTCCCAGTTAAGGACTCAGGCAGACTGGGAGAGCAGTGTGTCTGTCAGCGCTGGTCACCCTGCAAGCATGCAGCCCGGGGCAACAATGGTCTGATTTGCACGGCAGCTTCCAGCATTGGCCAGAGAAACGGGTCAATGTTTCAGCTGCGTGCAGGCTGTGGGCAGAAAGGGTGGGAGCAAGGGAGACCTCCCTGCAGAGCCAGACCAAGGTGTAACATTTCTCAGCCACACAGAGGGATGCTCTGAGCAGCAGGAACGGCTGTCAGGGAGCAGAGAGACCAGCCAAAGGTGGTATGGCAATGATGGGAGGAAACCAAACACAGAGCGTTTACCCACACAGCCCTCCCCTCACCTGCAGAGCAGGAGCCACACATCACAGCCACACCGTGTCTTCCTGGGAGTGCCCCAGTAGTGCCAGTGGGCAGCCCCAGGCTGTGGTCCCAGCCAGTGGTAGCATGGGGACTCTCCAAGTCCTGCCCAACTCCAAGCTGCCCAGGATGTGATGGCCAAGGAGATGCCACCAGGGCTGGCAGTGAGCACTTTTCCCTCCAGCTCATCCCAATATTCCCCAGCAGCATCCATCCCCAGGTGTTCCCACTCTGCCTTCCCCACGTGGTGCCAACGCATCCTGGGCAGAGCTGGGACACATCTCCTGGCCAGCTCCAGGGCTTGCAGGGATGGCCCTCACTGCAGGTGTGGGGCTGTGAGCTGCTGAGCAGAGCACCAAGGCTTTGTGCACCCCAACACCAGCACTGCCAACATACCCCCAAATATCGGCCCAGCTCAGAAAGCAAAGGGGAGTGAGGGGCTGCACAGTCACTGGCCACACTCAGACAGTGACGGACAGGGGAATGGGGACAGAGACAGTGCAGGCTGCCCTGTGTATGAGCAGGTTGGGTCCCCAGCAGGTCCCGCTGCCCATTGCCACCCATTCCCCAGCACCAAGCCTCCAGCCATATTCCTGCTGCTTCCCACCCAATCCCTCCATGGAGCCCAGCGAGGACGGGGGCTGTGGCGGCACCAAGCAGAAGCAGACCCTGCTCCATCAGCAGCCTCAGCCAGGCCTGCTGCATGCTTTGCTCAGCACCACACCTGAGGCAGCCCAAGCTGGAGGTGCAGAAATGCAGACCTACAGGAACATCACAGGGCGTGCTCACCCCTGCCCCAGCCACCCAGAACACAGAACTGATTGTAAGCTTCCCTCCAGAGCTGTGTTCTGCTAATCCAACCGAGTTTTCAGCTGAAAAACCAAGCGGGCTCTGCCACCTGGCTGCTCTCTGCAGAAACCACACTCTGCTCTGCTTCGGGAGCAGACCAACAAAACAGAGAGGTTTCGAAGCAGAAGCACCAGCACAGAGCCTCCCAGAGCTCCCGCAGCCCCAGTCCCACACTGGCTCCAGCCCTGTGCCCCAACTCAAGGGAGGGAAGGTTAAAAAGTGGGAGAAAATCAGCCTCACCGGGAGCCAGGTCTAGAAGAGAGCAGAAGAGCCGTGCGCTGACCGCACTGACCGCTGCGTGGCCGCAGTCCTGGGGCGGCTGGGGACAGCACTTAGCACACGGTCGGTGCCTTTGTTAATTAAAGCCTCTGGCTGATAATCAGAGGGAGGGAGGCTGAGTGATGAGGAACAGCCCCGTGATCTTGGTGTGCGGTGGGGGAAACACCGGCCCACGGCAGAACCCTGTGCAAACCAGCATCCTCAGTGCAGAACGACGGCCACTGGGAGCAGTTCTGGGCTCAGGAGCAGGAGAGGAGCTAAGGGTCAGCCTTGGGATCTCTGTAACAGGGAGACCCAAGGATGCCACGGCCCCACAGCAGGATCACAGCCACACCGTGTCTTCCTGGGAGTGCCCCAGTAGTGCCAGTGGGCAGCCCCAGGCTGTGGTCCCAGCCAGTGGTAGCATGGGGACTCTCCAAGTCCTGCCCAACTCCAAGCTGCCCAGGATATGATGGCCAAGGAGATGCCACCAGGGCTGGCAGTGAGCACTTTTCCCTCCAGCTCATCCCAATATTCCCCAGCAGCATCCATCCCCAGGTGTTCCCACTCTGCCTTCCCCATGTGGTGCCAACACCAAGTCCCAAAAAGAGCACAGCACCATCTGCCTGCACAGCCAAGCAGCAGCTGAGGGCCAGGAGCACAGCACACTGCTACTCCCCTGAAGGCACTGCTGTGTAGGACGCATTCCATGTGTGCTGCCAGGAGCAATTTCAGTGACCCCTTTCCATTTTACTCTTTTCTATGGATCAGACATGTGTCCAGCAACCCCCCACCCTGGGCTCTCACAGCACGCCAGCATGAACCCTTGCAAACAGCCTTTCCCCTGCACCTTCCAGGGGTGAGCCAGGGGAGAGAGATGGCAGACAGCCGCTGTGGCTCTGCCCTGTGTGCGGAGATGCAGATGGAGGCAGCCCCGTTGGCTTTGCCTTCTCTGGGAACCTGCAGCCCAGTGTTCGCTTATTGAAGGAGAAGCAGCATATGGCAAGGAAATGCATTACTGCTAACTGTTATACTTCTCATCCCAGTATGGATGCCCAGCAGGAAGAGTTTAACAGCGGTGTCCAGAAGACAGGGGACCCACAGAGGCCTCCCCACTGCCCTCCGTGCACTGCCCAGCGTGGCTGTGGCATCCTGGGGTGCTGGCACGGCTCCTCGGGGTGAAAGGAGCAGCGTGTAGAAGACAGAGGTGGGGGGAGAAACCAAAGGAACGGGGCTGCTGGAAAACCTCACAGAGCACAGCGTGGGCCCCCTCCCATCCCGCCGGCGCAGGACAAACCCCCCAAAGCCGCATCGAGGCTCACCGGGGAAACTGGCAGCAGGGCTGCTGGCCCCGAGGGTGAGCCGTAGGGATGCTCCGGCAGCCCCGCAGCAGGACCCCCGCAGCCCTCCTACTTCCCCAGCCCACCCGGGGCCACGAGCGCCCCGAGCCCGAGGGCACGGCCGGGGGCTGCGGCAGCGGGGAGCGGAGCCACCGCGAAGCTTAGCCCCAGCCCGAGGGATGCGGCAGCGCGACCCGCGGCCCCGCCGTGCCTCCGGGTCTCCGGTACCTGTGAGCAGCTCTATCTTGTGCCGGAGAACCTTCATGCCGGGCCGGCGGCCCCGGCGCGGGGAGCGAGCGGAGTCGGAGCGGAGAGGAGCGGAGAGGAGCGGAGAGAAGAGCGCAGGGCGGCGCAGGGGCGAGGCGGCACGGCCCCGGGGAGCGGATCCTCCCCTCGGCGGGGCCGGAGAGGAGGGACGGGGCCGCGGATGGGGCCGGGAGCGGGGCCGGGAACGGACGGATAATGGGAACGAGGGAGGGGGGAACGAAGGGGAAACTGTGGAGCTGCGGGGAGCGCGGGGGGGCTGTGCGAGAAAGGGAGCGGGGTGCGGCGATGGAAGATGTGGGAGAGCTCCGGGGGCAGAGCTGTGCCCCAAGAAAGGGGTCGTGATGGCTGAGCAGGGTGGAGGTCTCCACGATGGTCAAAAGGCCCGGGAGGTCCTGCGACAAGGGAGACCTGGGCAAGGGGTGTCCCCACAGCATGGCCAAGGAGTCGGGGGGCAGGGAGTGGGGACGGCGAAAGACGTGGGGTCTGAGGGGTCACCCACGACACCGTGGCTGGGATGGAGATGGACCCCGGACACCTACAAGGAGCTGTGGGACAGCGGTGTTTGGGAAAGGAGGATCACCCATCACCCTCACCACAGTGCTCAGGTCTGTGGAGGAGCCCAAGGGCTCCCAAGGCTGCAAGGTAGCAATGCTATATTTGCTCTGGCCAGTCCTGCCACTGCTCCTTGCCATGTATTTCTTTGGTACTGTTTTAATTCATCTTCCTTCAGCTGGAGTGGCTCAGGTGGGAAGAGCTGAACATCCTGCAGACTGCTCCTTGGGGCCAGGACTCCATCACTCACTCCTCTATTATGGACTTCTTCAGCTTAGCTGAGGCTGAAGGTCTCCTAAACCACACAAGATGCTGCACCAGGGTTGGGATTTTGGTGCTGGGATCTGGGAGACAACCCCTGCCCTGGAGGTCTCACACAATGACCCAAGTTTTCTCCCAACCCTAAACTCCACGACTGCAGTGGGTGCACTCACAGCACTCCTGTACAGCCCAGGCACAAGTGCAGCTCGTCCCACAGCAGGGCTGGGGCACACGTCTGTTCCGTCCCCGGTACATCTGTTCTGACAGCTTGTCCCAGGCTTGTTGGATGGCAACCAGCTTCCAGCTGACTTCAGCCTCTCCTGTTGAGTCACCAGTAGCTCTGCGTGCCAGGCCGTGCTCACCTTCTCACCTCAATGGGATGTTGGGGAGCACGGGGGGTGTTCAGCCAGGAGCTGGCTCATCGCCCCCGGGTTCTTCTCTGCCTTCAGGGCTGCCTCTCACACCACAGCAAAAGGTTCTCCTTGGAACTGGGCAGGGATATGAAGGGGTCACATCCTCTTGATACAAATGTGCAAATGTAAACCTCCTCTAACAGCCAGGGATTCCTACAGGAAGAAATGATTTTCACACCAGGAATTTATCCTCTCTGCACAAAGTTCAACTTGACCAAATAGGAGCTTTTAGATGCTACCTTGCCAAAGGAGCGTGGCCACATGGCTGGAATAATTGCACAGTTAATCAGGTATGGAGAGAACATAGGCTTTCCATGCACTGAGCTGGAGGCAGCAGCATAACATTGTGCAGGGGGTTTGGAATCTGCGTGAACGCGGTGTGGTCTGCACCCTCAATTGCATGTTTAAAGGGAGTTTTACAGCATGGATTTTTCCACATTTCTCTCTGCGGATCAATGTGGCATTTTCCACATGGCTTTCCATGCACTTTCATCTCAGCCATGTGACAGCAAGGCAGTCAAACCAAGGTCTGGCTGTGAAGATGGCATCAGGGAGGTCACAGCAGTGGACAAGGACTCTTGGAGGGTTAGGGATGCAGCGTGCAGACTTGTGCTGTTTTCTGCTGTTTGCTCTTTTCCTGTTGGCACCAAAGAGCCAGGGAGCCCTGTGCCCAGAGATGTCGCTGCGGGTGGTGATGCTGAAGCTGGGCTGCAGCTGTTTGAGAAGCATCCTATCCTCAGAATGGTTGTGCCACATGGCAGAGCATGGGGCAGGTGGATGGGGAGCAGGGGACTGGGTGGCACAGTCCAGACTGATGTGGGGCAGACGTGATGGCTGCACACATTCCAGGCAGGGGATGGGTGCGCTCAATGAGGCTTTATCGAGCAGGAATTAGGAGCTGTCCCCAGGCACACGCAGTCCGGTGATGTTGTGCTAAGGATCAGAACTAAATTTAGCCCCAGTTGCGCATGAGTGTGATGTTTTTATTGTCACTCTTAAATCATAATGTTGTTTGGAGTGCGTGGCTGCTGGTCCTGCCTTGCTCCGCCCTGGATCTGTGACAGGCTATTTTAGTCAAGGCATTCAGAAATGGGAGAAACAAGGAGAATCAGCGATGGGCAAGGTGCATGAGAAGGGCCTGTTTCCTAAAACGGGCGATGCACAGGGCACCCAAATCTCTGGAACCCTTAGAAAGCTGTGGGCACACACTCGGCCCACGGTCACAGTTGGCCACGCTCTGACAGCAGCACCATTCTCATGGCAGTGCTGGCAGGCCTCCAGCTGTGGCTGCCTCCTGCCCTTGCAGCATAGGGCTCGCAGTAATTTTCCATCCTGGCTGCAAGCTCTGCCTCAGCCCAAGGGCCCCAACGAATTATTCTCACACATCTCTCAAACAAGGCTGGGCTCCATTCAAGTTTCTTTTTTCATTCACTCGCAGCACCTCCACTATGGCAGAACAGGAGGATTTTGATCAAAAACCAGACCAACAACCTGCCCAGCGAGCTGCCAGGCAGAACTCCCACAGGTCAGCTGCACCCAGCAGCGATGGAACTCAGGGCAAAGCAAGGAGCATGGCAGCCCCAGGGAGTTTGCTGTCAGCTCAGTTCCGAAGCTGCGTCTGCAGGGGCTCAGTAGGGCCAGGTGTTACCTCTGTGCCCACAAGAGCTGTGTCCAACAGTCTCCATCTCAAGGCCTTGGAATGCCTCTAGAAACACCAGAACCTTGTTCAAAATGCATGGAAACCACAACATTTGCCTGTCTTGCCTATGTTTGGTGTGCACAGAGCCAGGTGCCACCTTCCCAGCAAGGAGGAAGCAGCCCCCGCTCACAGTCAAGCCAGGCTTTAAATAAATATCTGTCAGCAGAGCAGAGCAGAGCTGTGCAGAAAGCAACTGTGTGCATACAGATGTGCTTAACAAGCTGATAGGCGTGAGACAGAGCAGACTGCAAGGTGTCTCCTTGGAGCCTAGAGACCAGCATGCTCTCAAAGGCCGCATTAATGAGCATTTCCAATTGCACAACAAGCAACAATGTCCACTTTAACCTTCCCTTGCAGAGTGGGGTAATGCCCTCCCCAAGGCTCCCGGGTGCTGGGGTGGCTTAAGAAGGTGGCGATGCAGTGGGAAGGCTTGATGGCTCCCCAGGATTCCACAGTTGCCTTATTGCCACTGGTGGTGTTTGGGGACACACGGGTGGGTATGGCAAGTAGCACCCTTTCTGCTGGCTGCTTGGGGGTACCACAGCTCTGGGGTGCTGTGGGCACCAGGTCTGGAAACACACACTGCTTTCCCAGGGGGATAAAGTGGGGCAGGGCAGCATGCAGAAAGGCTGCCAGCCCAGCTAGCCCTTGCCTGGGCAGGAGAAGGCACCCAGAGGGGTTTGGCCAGTCTCTGCACCCCCTGCTCTGTACTTGGCCTGAGAGCTTTCACAGAGCAGCTGCACACCCAACTCCCCACGCCTGCACCCTGCCGGCTCTGTCCCTGACCTTCTCCTCGACCTGCAGCTGATCGATGCCTCTTGCTCAGAGGGATCCATCGGTCCTAACGATTTCGTCCTGCTCCTCACTAATGAACTCCCATGTCGTGCTGCTTTTGGGCCATGGACCCAGCGGATGCTGAGGGGGGAGACAGAGGGACAAAATGTTAGTTTTGGAGCTTTTAGCCAAAGCACACCGCTGCATCCTCCTGATCCTCCAGCGCACACCTCCCTCCCCACTCCTGCCCCTTCCAGCCCTGTTCTTTAGAGAAGCCAAGGTGAAGCCACCCGGTGCCACAGGACATCCCCCTGCAGGGCGCTGCACGGCATGACCAGCGCCATTCTCAGAGCTGCTGCCCTACTGTGCCCACGTTCTGGCCAGGCAGAAAGGGAGGCCTGGCACTGACCTTTGCTGGGAATCCAGTCACACGCACCCCATCAATAATGAACTGCAAGATAACAAAATGAGCTGTCACAGCCAATTAACACGCTGGGCTTAATCGGCTTGTGAGTTTTCAGGGGGGAGGCGGGGGCAGGCTCCAGCCAGAGGGGCCGGGTGAGGGGTCTGCCAGGTGGCAGCCACTCCTTGCTGGCTCCCTTGGCCAAAGGAACCCGGCCAAGAGCCAGGGCTGTGGGAGGGCAGAGCTGTGCACAGAGGTAAGCAGGAGGACAATGCAGCGATTTCCTTTTTTCTGTGTCATCCTGCCCTGCTGACTCAAAGCTCTGGGTGCACAGAGCTTCCCTCTGATGCTGCTGGTGCAAATGCAGAGCAGTGCCCATCTCTGCCTGTGCCAGCCAGGCAGCTAGAGCTGTGTTTGTGCACCGGAGCCCAAACTGAATGGCAAAACTCACAGCTCAGGCTCCAGGCAGTGCTTGGTAAAATGGTGGTAATAAACCTAGACAGTCTGGAGCAAACCAGGAGCCTCTGCCATTCAAACAGGTATTAATGCCTTCCCCAGAGTGTCTACAGTCCAGCTATGGGCTTTGAAGACAAATATGTGAGGGTTGTTTTGATGGTGCCTTTATTTCTCTATCTCCTGCACTGTTTTTTCCCACTTCCAATGCTGCCAAGCCCCCCAGCTAAAGGCCTGTGCTACTGGGTGGTTATCTCCCCACTCCCATTTTGCTCTAACGCATGAGAAGAAAAGCCATGCTGCATCTTAAGCATCTGCAATCTCTTGGTCTGAAGTCAAGGAAAGCTCTGCCTATCTGTTCAGGCCAGACCCCCTGTTTGTGCATGTCTGCAAACCATTTTTGTAACAATTATTCTCCTGCTTTACCTAAAGAGCACCCTAGCTAGGGAGGGCCCTCAAGGGACCACCAGAACTACTGGAGATAGGCACAGCCTTGTGAGCTACACCAGCTGTGAGCACAGGATGGGTTGTACAACATCCATTTGCCTTTTACCACTTTTGCTGCTGTTGTTTTAATCACAGCATCACAACAGAGATGGGACAGCATTACCATGACTCTCAGGAGGTATCTCCTTCACCAAACCTTGCTCAGCAGCATACCAGCATCTAAAGGACAAATTCTTTCTACCCTGCAACACAAGGGCAGGAAAACCTGGATAAAGTATGTTTCCTCTGACTGTAGGAGAACCCTGTGAAGAGCTGGAATCATATGGCTTCAGAGAGGCTAACAAAAGGCAAAAGACCACAGTGTGTCCTGCCAATCAGATAGAAAGATTACGGAGGCCAGTGGCACTGCTTGGCAGCCTGCCATCAGAAATAACTCCTCAAAAATAGAAGCATGCTAATCTCAGGAACCTTCTAATATTGTCAATCACATTAATGAAGTGTTTGGAAAACCAGAACAAATGCCTCAGCTTTTTGGGGCTGTGCAACCCCCTGTAATTTTCCACACAGCCGCGGAGTGGTCTGGCTGCTGCAGCCAGCTGCTCTCCTGCACAATGCCGTGGGGCAGCAGTGGGATCAGCCTGGCTCCCAGGAAGCTTGGCACCTGTGCTGGGAAGCTGACAGCCCTCGGTGCTGGGGAAGGGGATCCCAGGATTGATTTCCCCTACGAAGCAAAACCAGCCAATGGAGAGTGCTTGGGGAAGGTAGGAGTTCATGGTCTTCCTCTTTCTCCTCATCTTCAGGCCTTCTTCCAAGTTCTCTCTAGGCTGTTTTTCACTCCCTGACTTCTCATCTCTTTTACCTCCTCACACATCTCCAAGTCTTTTGACATCAGGCTTTGGTCACAGAATAAGCATGCCACAGTGCACTGACAAAAACCAGCTACACCATCTATTACACTGAGATACAACAGTAATGAAGAGGTCCCCTTCAAACTGCCTGTCCCACCTGCTGTCTCCTGCTCAAACACATCTGAAGGACTGCTGAAGTTCCTCCTCCTGTGAGTCTGGTTGCCTTCCTATGCCTGCTGCTCCCATGGCCAGGTGCTTCCAGGGCTACTGTGCCTGGCAACTTCTTTACAGGAGCTTTTCTCGCTCCCTGGCAGCCAACAGAGCTCCCTGCAACAAGCTGCAGGGAGAAGGTGGACACAGCTTCACTTGTTCTCCCATCCCTGGTTGTCCCAGATTCAGGGGACATACTATAGAAATGGAAACAGCCACAGAGCCCAGCTCCTTCCAACACTGCAAGGGACCCCAGGACAGCAGAGCCCAGTCCCAGCAGATGGGCTTTGGAGTCTGAATGGCATGTACTGGGCTGGCAGGGAAGGACAGGGCAAGTAGAAAACATGCAACTGACTGTCTGGTCTTTTTCCTTCTTGATCTCTGTGAACCACAGCCTTCATTATACACACACTCATCCTAACCCTACTTCTTAGGCTGTCTCAGATTGAGGATGACACAGGAAGCGCTTTGGGAAAGAGAAGGCAGAAGCCAGGGCTCTTTCTGCTACCTGCTCTGCCTGGCTCCACGCTGTGCTCCCCAGGCACTGACTGCTCCAGCACGAGGCCAGTCCTGCACCCGCTCAGGCACACTCAGCACATCTGAATGTGGTACAGCCAACGGCCTGTCCACCTCTTCTTCTGTGTGCAACTCTTGGCAGCTTTCTCTCAGTCTGTCCTTATGCAGCAATCAGCAATACTTCATTTTCAGTGTCTATGCCAACTATGACATCTGTTCTTCCTGCATGCTCAAATCCAAAACAAGGCAGTGCAACCTAAACTCATCTTGAGTCTCGATGTTGCACCTGCATGTGCAACAAGTCACTTAGCCATCTACTTGGGTCTAAAGGCACAAGAACATCAGTAGAGTTCTCACTACCTTCTACTGAAACAAGCAGTTTTGGTAGGGCTCACACAAAAATAACATCTTCAGCTCCACTCCTCCTGTCCCAGTTCTGACCAGCAGTGCACACAGCAACCCTCCCAGGCCACGGCCATGTAGTCATGGCAGCAGGAGATGCAGCACACTGCAAGGTGGTCTGAAGCCAGAGCCACTTTTAACTGCCCAGCTTCTTTCACAAACAAGATCTGTCTGCCCCACATTTGAATCCCTCTGCCCGATCAGCATGAAACAAAGCAAAGCATGTCATATCAACTGGAGATCAGCTCCCAAAGCCAGACTTAAAAGCGAACCCATCAGAAATAAGTTTCAAATGCGTGTGGTCTCCCTTCCTTCCCCATTCAGTGTGACATGATGAAACCACAGTAGCTGTTATCCTTCCATCAGTTTTTGTGTGAAGTCCCACAGACAATTCAGCTCAGCTTTTAGTGCTCAGGCTGCTGTCAGCTCTAGTAAAAGTACTTCTGGGTTGGCAATATCAGGCAAATGGAGCAGAACTGCTGGCTCAGCTATCCACGCTTGGCCACTCTCCTGCTGGGCCAATCTCCTGTTTGGATGGGGGAGAAGGATGGAGAGTAAGAAAAGTGCTTCTCTGTATTTAATCAGATACCTGGCAGTCCTGATGAAGCTTAGCAGCAAGGATTTAATGAGATGGACCAAGGAAGCCAGCATGATTTCTGAAAAGGGGAATCTTTTAGCTCTGTCAAGCACTCACCAAGTAACTAGCTGAGCTCTGGTAGATGCAGCAGAGCTGTGAAAGCCTGGCAACATATCTGCTGTAAGAAATTATGTCGTTGCTTCCAATCCAGAGTACAAAATCATTCAATCATCAGAAAAAGAAGCAGGTACGGAACAGCTCTGAGCTGCCCCCTGCCAGGCAGAGGCAGTGCTAAACAGAGAGCTGGACTTATAAATAAAACCACAATCTTCTGAGCCGTATGATGTGCCATCAGACCATGTGCTTTTATAAACAGCACATCTGGGCACAGAAGCAGCTCTATGTAAAGAAAGCAGACACCATTGTCCCAGTGTTGGATTACATCACATCTCTATTCAGCCATTGGGTCAATTAACATTCTGAATGAAGTTCTTCTAACAGCTAGTCACCAAAAAAAATGGCCAGACAATCACTGACTGCAGCAGAAATACCAAGTCACAGCTTGAAGCAGTGATTGAGCACCTGGTGGGAAGGCAGGGCCATCCCAGGGGAGCTCAGGTGCATGCAATGTATCTGAGTGACTGGATCCTGGCTCCACCCCTTCCCAGACCTCATTTAAGGGCTGGCAGTGGAGGCAAAGGTGTTTCTCTAGAGATTCCTGCCTACTGGAGGTCTTCTTAAGGGTAAGCAGCTGTGGTTTTCTGTGTCTCTGGCTATATTTGAGTGTATCCTCACCTGTTGTAGCCTCTTTCCATCATGTTATAGTGATCAGAATTGGAAATGCTTATGCTCTTTAACTCAGCTAGGTGCCATTGTTTCTCTGGTACAATTAATTACAATTAATCCATGGCATTACTGTAGGTCAGTTTTCAAAATATTTCTTACTACCACCTCTCCTGGAAGCTGCTGGTCTAAATGACCATGCCTGTAGCTTCCTAGTTAGCAGAAACAATCAACAGCTTTTTTTCTGCTGACCAAAAATAAACCGAGGCCAGAGGACAAAATGAGACCTCATTTATAGCAAAGAAAATCAAGGGAGTAAAGCAGAACTCTTGTGGAAAAAGTAGTTTGGATAGCTGAGAGTTTGTGTTTGGATGACTGCAAAGCTCTTTGTGTTTAACTGGGCCTCAAACACCCACAGCTGCCTCACATACTTGGAAGAGTACATGGAGCAAGATAAAAAGCCTCGAGTGCTAACAGTTCATGTGAAATTCAGGTGAGGAAAGGTCTTCAGTTTCACTGACTGTTGTAACAGCTCACTGCTAGGAAGCTGAAGTGACTCTATCTTCTGCTGCACTGGTGCACACACAGCTCCCTGTTTGTCACACACAACAGCCTGGCTCTGGAATGGAGCATCCAGGGAGGCCACCCAGCAGAAGCAGCTTTTCAGGAGCTACTCAGACAAATGTTGCCCTAAGATGGGTCTAACAGGACCAGCTCTCACCTTTGGGGAAGAACTGCACCAAGCCAGCCTGTGGGTTTCTCAGAAAACATGCCATAAGAATGTTCCTTTAGGTTTTCATGTGAAAGAGTAACCAGCATCCTGAATTTCCGTTACTTTTGGTTGTAATGGAAAACACTGCATAGACATATTATACAGATTTCTCATAGATGTCAGTCCTGCAGTGTGAAGATGAGGGACACGGGGAGTAGTGACACTTAGAAGTCCTTTTTGTACCTCTTTTGTACAGTTCTGTAACCTATTGTGCCATTCTGGTAATATAGGAATTCAAATTCCTCTGGCACAGCTTGCTGCTGTGCAATCATAAAGGACAGTCTGTGTTCACAAAAATGACAGAGCATTCTTTTGTCAGCTATCCTAAAGGCTTAACAGCAGCAGTGGGTGTCTGCAGTAGCAACAAAGTGCTTCCAAACAGAATAAAGCATTCCAGCCAGAAATGAAAAAAGAAACCACAGAATATCAGATCTACAAACAAAAAAAAAAAAAACAATTAATAAAAATTGCAGGTTTGTTTTTTTTTATTTATTTTTTTTTTTTTTTTTTTTTTTTTTTTTTTTTTTTTTTTTTTTTTTTTTTTACAAAGCACTCGGGGTTACTAAAAGAGACATCTGACATTAAGGACTACTTCAATCTCCCTACTCTGAAACTGGCTGCACAAAACACTGGTGAGCGTACACCATCTGTCTGGACTTTGTACCCAGCAGTAACGATGAGAAATGTTCTTACAAACACAGGAAAATGAGTTTGGAGAGTCATCAAATCTAATCTAGAAACTGAGGAGAGAATGACTTCTTGTTATAAACCAGCTCTCAAAGCAACTACCTTAAAACAGCCCTTCCAAACCTGAAGTGCTTTTATCACAGGTGAGGTTAAACTTGCTTCCCTTGCAGCTGGAACACTAAATGCAATTTGGACATGATTTGCAATCTGTGCTTTAGCACTTGGGGCAGCAGGGTTTGAACAGAAACAGCCAGCTGCCACCTGTTGGCTGTCACGCTGCTGGAAAGTTAACATCGAATCACCTCCCTTCTATAAAACAAACCATGAAAATGTAGACTTACAAAATCAATAGCTTTTATCAGGTTGGAAGTGTTTCTGCCATGGCTTCAGCAAACTGCTGCTACTCACATAGGATAAGTTGGCAGCTGACTGCAGGAAAACAGTTCCTGACCATGTCACCTAAAAGAGAACAGGAATGGGATGACCAGGACTGCACTGTCCTCTGCAGCCATGACTTTGCAGAGATCTGCACTATCCACAACTAATTTCTCTGTTGCTGGACAGCTAAGAACGGTCACTTTAAATCAAATAACTTCCCCTTAAAAATATTTATTCAGCATAAAAATCCAGAAATAGAAAACATACAAATGTTACAAGAAAATGCCTAGGCTATGTTGTACAGCAGCATTTGAATCTGTACACATGGAGGTACTTTGTGAGACACAACTTCCAGTTTGTCTCCCCAGCAGGTGCTGAGGCCAACACCCTGCCCCCCCTCACAACCTCCAGGGCAAAGCTTCAGAGGAATGATCACGTGCTGTTTGTACTGCAGGTCTTTAGTCTGAAGAATCTGGTGTCCAGATACACATACAAAGACAACTCCTACAAGAATTGGTGCATAAATCTTGAAGGTCTTGCATCAGAACTGCTGCTGTCTCCCGGTGGCTCCTGGAGCAGGAAGGACGTGCATGCAGGATGATAACCACTGGGCTGCTCAGTGAGTACCAGCTTCAATCTCTCCTACTGGCAGTGATGACATTTAATAGAATCAGATGGATCAGAAGGAAGGAAACTCGGTTCGTTTGCTCTGTCCCTCCATTAGTAACTGAACGTAGTATGCAGAAGATTATCTCATGGGAAAACAGATGACAGAGGTTGATAATGGAGGATGATTTCCATTAAAGCACCTGCTTTTAACTCAGTCCAGACTAACTTCTGTTGCTTCTGTAAAATGAGTGGAAGAGCTCGACATCTGCTGCAAAAACACATCTGTCACTAAAGGCACTCATAGCAGCTGGGAACATCCTCCACCACTCACAGCACTGATCCCACAAAGTTGGAGGGGGAAGAAAAGACCAGGCAGCTCCTCAGACCTGCACAGCTGGAAAAACATTCTCTGAGGTACTAACGTGTGCAAAAATCAGCAAGGAAAAGGATCCCTGCCTCATGGACAGCATCTGTTATACTTAAATGTACAAGAAATGGGAAAAGTTCAGTGTGGTTTGTGGCACTTTCTCCATATAATTGGGGCTCTCCAAAGAACGGAGAAGCTGGAAACAGATATTCCCATGAGGCTGGTATGGGAAGGATGGAATACAAACAATTACACTTCTTTTCCAAATGGATCAGGCACTGCAAATATAAATTTGGAGGATAAAGAATGATAAATATCAATTACCCTTTTAGAAAATCCTCTCATATCCTTTCAGCCACTTAGCAAGCACTACAACCACAGATCCTCAGGAGTGGTGTGAGTAAGCCACAGGGCTATCCAGCAACATGATGTGGTCTATTTTTAATATACTTCCCATCTGCCTTCAAAATTTGCACTAGGCTAATCTGAAGATGTCAGAAAGAAGAACTGCCACTAATGGACAGGGAGTCTGTCCTTTCCTAAAGCTGATTCATCTTTCTTTTCTGTGACTATCAATCTGTGTCCCCTGTTACAACCACCTGTTCTTCAGGCTTTTACCCATCCATTTCTGTAAATTTTCTTTTCCCGTAATTCTGGACCAGACTGGAAACTGTGATTTGTGAAGCCTGTCCCTTTTCCCAGCACTGGAAGTCGTTCAGCCCCTTCTGGCCAGCTTGAAATAAGGCTCGCTCTAACTCATCCAGCCGAGCCACCAGATTTGAGGTGTCCTCATTGTAGGCATTCTGAGAGGAGTCCATGATACGACGGAAACGGCTAATAAACGTCTGAAGAAGATAAGCAAAATTACTGACACGTAAAGCAGAGGCTGCTTCAGCTTGAATGCTAGAGACCTTCCAAGACAGGAGACGCTCACAGCAAGGTCTGCCAGCTGCTGGCACGGCTGTGTACACAGCACCTATTAATCCTGGGTATGAAGACAAACCACTTCCTGCCTGAGCTTGGAGAGTGAATATCTGATACAGTGGAGAGGAAGCATTCATGGAATTAGATTTGGCTGCTCTCTAACGACAGGCTTGAGCAGACCAGAGGGCGTAACACAATTAGCATCCACTCCATCTCACTTAACCAGTGGAATGAATCTTGTGCCACAGCAGCTGCTGTAGGAACAGACAAGCTGCAGCCTGTGAATGGACCAGAAGATATGTCATCATGAGGAAGATTCAGCATGCTGAAATAACACTTACCCCCCCCCCCCCCAAGTCTACGACAAACACACAACATTTTAAAAACCAAAAGGATATATTGAAAGGTTTTAAACCCAAGCAAAAACAAGGAGGGAGTCAAAACCCTATTTATGGTGGGTTTTTTTTTTTTTTTTTTTTTTTTTTTTAAGTAAAAAAGCACAGCTCCTCTCATTTGCTTTCAACAAGTTGCACCTTGCATGCTTTGATATTTCAGTCAACTAGTGACGTACTGAAGTGGTTCTCTTGCTAAGATGTACATCAGCAGAAGGAAAAGATGAGGAAAGGTGTGGTCACCTCCTCAATGCAGAAAGCAAGCCTTCCGTAGTCCCCTCTAAGGAAGGAGTAATATTTGATAATTTCATGAATGAAGTTAATTAACAGAATAGAAATTATGGTTATTAGATTAGCAAACAATATCCAGGAATAGAAGGATGGATGACTGTGGACACATCAGGGGACTTGTGAATAATAATAATAATTCACAAGTAATCCTGACGAACTAGAAATACAGTCTGAAAATCATTGGATGTAATTTAGCTGGACTACTGCAAGGTTCTACACAAAGGCAGAAATAATTAACTACAAAAATGCAGGTTAAAGAATGATGGTCTGCGTACGCAGGCTTTACCACCTCACTGTACACTGCAAACCAAATGTGGCAATGTCACACTATCGAGAAAAATAGAAAAGCTGTGTCGTGATGAGGAAACACCATCATGGCCTGGAAAATTCTCAAAGGAATCTTCCCATGGGCACAAGGCAAGATGTGTGCTGTTCAAGATACTGCTGATCCAAGCAGCTGGAGCTGAACTGGAAAAATACCAGCAGCGATCAGAGGTTAGGAAGCATGACACACAGTGAGGTATCAAATGAATTGGGATCATTTATCCCAGAGTGAAGAAAGTCAATGTTCAAATACATAATAGCCTGCTGCAGGAAGGAAGAGAATCTGTTCTCAGTGTTTACTTTGTGTGAGACAAACAGAACAGAGCTTGTATTGCTGTGAAACAGATTTTGTTTAAGCCTAAGATAGGATGGTGAAGCAATGGAACAGCTGCACAGGACAGTATGAAGAGAGCTTTAAAAACAGGTTAAAAACCAAAAAATAGGGCAAATCAATTCTGCCTTGCAGCAATGGAACAGATAAAATACAGTTGCATCCTCTTTAGTCCTATTTTACAGGATTTTCTGAAATATCGTATTTACAGCATGGAAACTCTAAGCTAAAATCCAACTCTTGGATGTGCACTTGAGGCTTGCACTGACATTAATAGGCTACAATTCCCCAGAAGGGTCATACCACCTGATCTACAGATCCTTAATCCATTCAGAAGTCATCTGAATTGGAACAAGCTGTTTATCCTGGAGTCTGCTGGGCAGCTGGGAACAAGAAGATATGCAAACACAGAGACAAACTTCAGGCCTCAGCTCTCATACTTGCCTGCAGGATAGTCTGAGCTATCTCAGGGTTCTCTGGGTTGTCGAAGTTCAGGAGCTGGGAGCCAAATCCATAGTAGTACGGCCCCATTTTATGCAAATCGACCACATTGGCATCAGCTCTGAACACTGTCCTCCAGGCCTCCTTGTAGATCTTCGGCAGCTCTACAGAGATCAGCCTCCTCTTGCTGTCGTGCAGCCCCTTGGCCAGCCACATCGGGATCTCTAGCTTTGAGCCCTGCACAAAGAGAGAAAGGCAAGGGCTGTCCCCAGGAAAACACACGTGGACCAACCCCAGAAGCTGACAGAAAACTTTAACAGTGAAGATCCGGTATTACAAAGGGCCAGTTTTGTGCTCAGAACAGCCTCATGCTTAAAGAGGGTAGGTTTAGGTTGGATGTAAGGAAGAAGTCTTTTATAGTGAGGGCAGTGAAGAATGGTTGCCCAGAGAGGTGGTGGCTGCCCCGTCCCTGCAGACTGAAGGCCAGGGCGGATCAGACCCTGGGCAGCCTGATGGCGCTGTGGTGTCCCTGTGCCCTGCTGAGAGTTGGAATAGATGGCTTTTAAAGGTCCCTTCCAACGCTAAGGATTCCATAACTGAGATATAAACAAAACGCTATTCACTAATTATTACTGCAGGACTCCGAGTCTTTGCGTCGACCCCAAAACAACGGCGCTGCTCGCGCGTAACCCCTCACAACACCGCTGGTGGAAACAGCTGCGCTCCGCTCCTCGCAGCCCCGGGCAGCGCCTCGCGCTCCCAGCATGCCCCGCGCCGCCGCCCAGCCACCCGCCCGGCACCGCCCCGCGCGGTGCCTGCCGGGAGTTGTAGTTCCCGCCGTTCGTCACCTCAGGGATGGAGTCCCCCGAGCCGGCGCCGGTCCCTTGGCCCAGCGCGAAGGCCAAGCGGGGCAGGTTGCTCTCGGCGCGGCCAGGCAGCTTCTCCTGCGACATGAGGATGTCGTCCAGCGATAAGAAGTTCTCCTCGGGGCCCAACCCGGGGCCCACCGGGAAATACGCCTCCGCCATGCCAAGGCGGACGGGCACGCAATAACTCCCGCTCAGCCGCCAGCAGGCAGCGCTGCGCATGCGCGGAGAGAATTCCCGCCCGTCGCGGAGGCGGGAACGGGGCTGAGGGGCGGGCGGTGCTGTGGCCGATCAGCGGTCCGTCAAAGTCGCGGCCGTGCAAGAGCGGTCGGATCGGTGCCGGTGTATGAAATCCCGCACGGTTGAATTTTTCGCTGTGAGAAATAAAGCACAAGGATGTAGGTCAGGACACCAGTGCAACGTCAGTCACTCTTTTCCCTCCTGGCACTTTCAGGAACAGATTTGCATTTCCTAATTGGTTGGCTTGCCTGTGGCAGAGAATTCTTATTTGTCAGGAATGTCGTGCTGGATTTGTGACACTAGCTTTTGCAATCCCTTTGTTGTGCAAATGCAGGCAAATAATTAAAGTAAGCCAGTTGGCTTCAGCAGGATTGCCCATAAGAGAGCGAAGTGCTGTGTCACGTGAATAAACATGGCTCTCAGGAGCAGAGTCTCCAATCTTTACTTTTTAAGGAAGAAGTACAAGTCTCTAAATAAAAGAAGAACAAAACCATTTTCCCGTTCAGTTCAAATGTGAGAGATTTAGCAGCAGTATAGCACGCTCCAATTTACATCTCAAAGTCTCATTCCTAACCTGGAGGAGGATTGTATCACATATTGCAGACAGCAGATCAGCTGCAGGAGGAAGGGATTTATGGCAACCGAGCATCCATCCTATGGGAAAGCAAAAATAGCACTTCTGGCTTTCAGCTTCTAACCAGCGTCTCTCAGGAGGAGGGCAGCGATGTCAGCAGGGTCTCTGGCCAGCTTGTAAAAATAATTTCAAAAATCTCTGTGAAGGAGCACTGAAGAAAGAAGATAAACTGCATGCTATAATTGGTATTGCATTTTTAACAAAGGGAGCATAGAAGCAGTTCTAGAACTTTCCAGTGTTTTCTTCCCCGATGTATGAATCCCTATTATCACGTGGAAGTGGATTCAGCAATTTGCAAGGAATTTTTACCTGTTGTATAGTTTTGCTGGTAAGTGAAAAGCCACAATTAGGCAAGTAGCAGGCATTTCATGAACATTCATTGCTTTAGGCAATGCCATGTTGCTCAGACTTTTTATAATGTAAAGGAATCTTGCATTTGGAGTCCCATAGGTGGCAATTTACTGTTGGTTTTGGGTAGTGTTGTGGAAAAACAGTCGTTGTGATATCTGCCTTCAGCAGGTAAGAAATGAAGGAAGTTGCTAATTACAGCACAAGACCGTTGATCTGCAGTCAGTTCCAAAGGGATGAGATCTCTGACACTTTTGATGTCTGGGGTGGCTGTGATGATGTAAGTAGAACACTCACGTGGTGTGGATGAAAGAGAAATGCTGTTTGTTCTTCACAGGGAGACCCTTTCCTACCTGAAATACACTCAAGTGACTGAACAAAGCCATGAGTCCTTCCCACAGTCTGAAACATTAAACGTCAGCAGGTTTCCTTTTTGTTATGTCTCAAAGTTCCCAGTTAAATGCCATAGGGAAATAATGGGAATGCTGCTCTTCCGGGTTAGTTGCATGCACTCCAATGCCATTCAACAAAAGGCGATACTCATTGCCCGGAGGCAAAAATAAACATGATCTAATGAATTGATCTTTATGCACAGGGAAAAAAAACAAACAATTGTTTTGCAGAAATTATATGAAAACTGGAAAATGATGACTTGTTTGAAAGGAAGACAGGAGGAAAGGAAGGGCGTTGATATATATCAGCCTCACGTTCTATACCAGATGAAGGTGATGGAAATTTTATTGATCTGGAGAGTTTGCTTAAGCGAGTTACTGAAAAAAAAAATAAAATGCAATATTACTTATGTCTTGAGATTTGGAATAAGAGCTTGAATCCTGAATTGCAGGGAGAGTACGTTTGTGTCAAGTCATTCTGTGTGTAAGCAGTAAGTTATCCAAACGTGAATCATATCCTTTTTTTTTCCACTGCCTGACGTTTGAGAGACAGAGAGTTAGCTTTGTGAGTGAGGGGAAACCAGCAGGTGAGCTGACAGCAGCATTCCTGAGTGCTGAGAGGATGCCTGTGGGTCCACAGCTTACCAGAGTGGGAGATGTGGGAGCCTGCCAAGTGCTTGGGCAGTTTGCAGTGTTAACCTTTGGAGTCTGAGGATTGAGGGGACGATGCTGTTCATTCTGAACATTTGGAAGAAGTCTTGTGACTCAAGGTGGGAAGGAATGAGAAGAGCCAAGACAAGCAGCTTGTGCTGTCTAAGAATATCCTGTCATGGTATGTCCTCAAATCTGACAGCTTTTCTCTTAAGCATGAACTACTCTTTGATGCCATGAAGCCTATTTTAGTTTTCATGAAACACCCCTGTAGCTGGCCATACAGCTCATTGCCAATAAGTTAACAGGGTGCAAGCTTCATCTGGTAAATATCCAAGGACGTTGTAATCAAAGCAATAAATCCTGCCTGATATTCTAGAAGTGAATAAATTTTGGTGGGCTGTACTCAGTACCAGGTTTTATCACACAAACCCAGATTCTTGGCAGAGTTTTAATCTCCTCCAGGAGAGCCTGCATATCTATTGATTTTCTCATTTTCTTATAATCCCATATTTGCCAGCAGAGCCAGTAACGTAACAGGAAAGCACTTTCAGTGGGGAAAGTTTGGCAAACCTGGAGTAATCTCATTGAGATGAATGATGGTTTTAGAATTTATTTTCATAATATGGGGTTTAAAAATCTATCTTCTCCTCACGGTGGAATGTGCAGTCCTATCTGGTTATTTTTTGTTGTTGACAGTGTGTTGTTATATTACAATATTACAGTATTACAGTATTACAATATTGCAGTTAACAGTCCTTAAAAAGAATGAAATCTTTTCTGATTAATGCTCCTCTGCAAATGCTTTTCTTATCTTTTGATTGATGGTTTCCATCCTGGAGCCTCCAAATGCCTTATAAGAGTGCTTTAAGTAATATGTTGCATGCACTTTAGCTATACTCATGGGTTCTCTTTGAGACTTATGTGCAGTTCCAAGGTGTTTCTCTGCTTCATTTTTCAATGCCCACACTTCTTGGGGATTCCTGGAAGTTCTTTTCCTTGAGGGCAGTGAGGCCCTGGCATAGCTGCCCAGAGCAGCTCCGGGTGCCCCATCCCTTGAGGTGCTCAGGGCCACGGAGTAGCCTGATCTAGTGAGAGGTATCTCTGCCTATGGCAGGGGGTTGGAACTTGTTGAGCTTTAAGATCCCTTCCAACCCAGCTCATACTGTGATTCTTGCTTCTCTATGCAACTCCTTTTCAACAAGGGATGCTAAAGTGGAGATGGTTAGCATATCTGATGTGTGAGTCAAAACCTGACGATAAAGATCTAACACAATCACCTCAAATGTCCCTCCACTTTTAAATTCTCCCCTGCATTCAATTTCCTTACTAGCAATTAATGGAGGAAATAAGGACATGATCACAGTTTGCTCTGACTGCCCAGACCAAAATAGCTGTTTCTGCAAAGCTAATTAGGAATGACATACTTAAACACATTGCATTTAAATTGTCGATTTAAGTTTTAGAGTTGATGTATAGTGGAAACCCATCTTCCTGAGATGTGAGAGACAAGGTATCGATTCCCTATTCCAGTAAATGGGTTTGAATATTCCAAATTCAGCAAAAAAAGAAAGAAAAAAAAAAGGCTGAAGAGTCCCTCCTGGACTACAGAGACAACCCTACAGTTCAAAACTGCAGATTCACATGGATTTATGGCATGTTAGTCATAAGGCTGAGTTCCCCTTGGGTAACGTGCTGACACTGTTTCCTCTGCAGGTTCATGGCTCTGACAGCATAAGCTTGATGTGCAGTCCCTGAGCTTGATTCCACTGATAGCATCACCTGCTGTGAAGGTTTGTGAAATGAAAGCTGTAACTCCAGGTGAGAGATTGGTTTGGACTGTAAGTGTTACACTGCCTTACCGTCAGCCCAGCAGTGCAATGGCATGATGTCCTGAAGCTGATGTAGATGGAATGTAGACCAAGAGCTGCAGAATCAGAACATGCTATCTTTAATACTGAAAATGAGAAAGCATTTTTCAGTACACAGGGCAGACTTGCTAAGCTATTCTTGTGTAGATTATGCAGCACACAGGGCGTAAGGAGTCGATCCTTGAAGGCATTCTAATCTCCTGTACTAGATGTAATATTGCCTGGTCCTTGCTTATGTGTGTAGCTCCCATCAGGGAAAACAGTAATGAATTTGCATACTAAGGAGAAAATAAATCCTGATTCCCCTGCAGTAAGATATAATGTCAACAAAAGTCTTTGATGAATGCAGACTCTTCTTAATTAGATGCTTGGGTAGGAGATTATTAATCCATTTATCTCAAATTCTAATTGTACCATGAATTGCTTGCTGGTTTATGCCTAAGTTTATGATCACATTTATCTTCCTGGAACCTATAAAGAGTCATACTCATAAATGAACATTTCTTGAAAGTTGAATTATTGTATTCTTATTTTTATTCCCTTCCTCAATGTACGTGTATGTAAATATTCTGAAATCCTCACTCGTATTAGCCAAGAGTACATCCTGCAACATAACAATTGCACAACTGCAGCTATATGCCATTTCCACATCACGACATCTGACCTTTGAAAAGCATGGATATCTGCACCAGTGACAGCCAAAGGAAGCTGGCTGTCATGGCAAAGGCTGGTCTTTATGGACCCTAACAATGGAGTGGGCATGGCTTGGGGGCTTACCAGATTTCAACTGTACATTAAAACTAAAAGCTTAGGTTGTGATACCAATGTATAAATACTAATGATCCCACCGACCTAAAAATCATCCCTAGGAGATTCAGAGCAAGCCAGTCAATTTGCTAAAAGTGCATGTAGCTGCCTGGATGACATTCGTTTGCCTGGATACAGCTGAGGATTCATTTGAAAATATCCTCAGGCAGATGTTGCTTCCTTTGAACGCTGAGTTGGCCTAGTTGGCAGCTGATGGTGTATGCTGCAACAGCTCCACCTGCCGAAACAGCTCATAAATCACTGGGACTTC